AGGGGGCAATACTGAGGGCAGAAGAGAGACATGCTTGTGGACACTTCTGAAAAGAGGCTGTCCTGACTAAAGAACTCTATCCTGAGTTGTTTCTGATCCTCAATTGTAACTTGTTACTTTCCTAATAAACCCAGTAATTATGAGTATTGTCTAGGAGTATAGTGTGGTCACTGCAACAAATGATTGAACCCAGCAGAGAAGTAGAGGGTGCCTTGGGAGAGGGCACAGTTGGGGTCAAGATTGGTAAAATGGTTGGAGGGTGGAGACATGTCTGACCTCTGTCTCACAGGAGTCAGCCCTAGGCTGCTGATCTTGATTCGCCTTCTTCCTTGTGAAGTTAGAAGAGCCGGACACTTCTGCCATGCGCCATTTTTACAGCTTCCATAAAGATTTCAAAACCAAACCCACTTGATCCTTGTACTCTTTTAAGAACTATCTATATGGGATCAAAGTGATAACAGCAACTCAAAAAGATTAGATAGGAAGCTTAGGGGACAGTGAAGCTTATGTTAATGTTGGAGGAACAAGTCAGAAAAGGAAGGTGAGAAAGGTTGCACAGCTTAAAAGAATGTCATCCGTGTCACTAAATGGTACATGTAGCAACTACTGAATTGGTGTGTGTTTTGCTGTGTATATTCTCAACAGCAAAATTTAGAAACCAAAAAATACCCAAAACCATTGCCTTCGAGTTGATTCCGACCCATGGTGACCCAAAGAACAGAGTTGAACTGCCCCACAGGGGTTTTTTTTTGACCTTACTAATTATTTTATTGTGAACTGAGTGATAGTTTACATGGGAGAACATCAGCTTTACACCATCCACCATCGTTTCATTGCAATGATTACAATCTCCTCTGTGCATCATCATTCAACAGTATTTGCTTCCATTCTCTGTTTTTCTTTCCCCACAGGGTTTTTAAGGCTGTGATCTTTATAGAAAAAGACTGCCTCATCTTTCTTCTGTGGGGTCCCAACCATTGATCCGATAGCAACCCAGTGCTTAACCACGGAGACACCAGGCTTCTTCCCTTGGAAACCCTATGGAGCAGTTCTAGTAGGTTTTGGGGTTTGATACTTTGTTTGGAAATTGGATTTTTGCAAATGTTATCAGTTAACAAGAAGAGGTCCTACAGGAGTAGGCTGAGTTTGAATCCTTTAGGATTGGCGATGGTGGTGCTGGTGGTTATGTGCCATGGAGTTGGTTCCAGCTCACAGAGACCCTGCATAGGGTTTTCTGAGGCTGCAAATCTTTATAGGAGCAGAAAGCCTCATCTTTCTCCCACAGAACAGCTGGTAGTTTTGAACTGCTGACCTTGAGGTTTGCAGCCCAACTCGTAACCACTATGCTACCAGAGCTCCTTAATCCCTTATGATTGGTGTCCTTATAAAAGAGAAGGAGAGAGATGGAGGGCAGAGAGTTACATAAAGATAGAAGCAGAGATTGGAATGATCCAAGGAATGCCAAAGATCCCTAACCATGACCAGAAAGTATGACAGAAGTGAGGAACAGATTCTGCCTCAGATCCTTTAGAAGAAATCAAGATGACCAATACTCTGGTTTGGACTCCTAGCCGATAGAACTATGAGACAGTGTAGGATGTTTCACATAGTAATGGTGAGTTTAACTATTCCTATGGGCGAGTCTCATATTTATGAAGCAACTGAACTATCCCAGAGGTACTACATTTCTGTGGTAGAGTCACAATAGGGATTAGCATGGGTGTGGACAGAAACCACAGGAGGTCATGCTGCCCAGGGGACCGTTTTCATCAGGGACCCATTCTCAGTGTATGGTTTATGAACTCTTCTGTGCTGCACTCCCACTATCTGTGGTTGGATTTCATTTAACAGTGGGATTGAGCTGCCCAAGTGGGCCAGATGGAATTATGCTACTAACAGGCCTTTTCACATGGTTAATGCTCTGGTAGCATAGTAGTTACGAATCAGGCTGCAAACCGCAAGGTCAGCAGTTTGAAACTACCAGCTGCTCTGCAGGAAAAAGATGAGGTTTTCTGCTCCTGTAAAGATTTACAGCCTTGGAAACCCTGTTCAGGGTCGCCATGGGTCGGAACCGACTCGACGGCACTTAACAACAACAACAAATGCTGTGTGTATTGTCTACATTTGGTTGGAATCTGTAGGCTGAGGGGTGTTCATATTGCCCACCATATATACAGTTCACTCTGCACGTAATTATAACCAGCATATACATTCTCTTTACATTAATGATTTCTCACAATCATGTGAGCTCTGTTAATAGTCCCATTTTACAGATGAGGGAAGCTGAGGCTCAAAGAGGTCAACTCCCTTGCCCATGTTACAGACAGGAAGTAGCAAAGCTGTTAGAGTCTATTGGACTGCAAGGTTGGCAGTTCAAACTCACCAGCTGCTCCTGGGAAACCCTATACAGGGTTGCTGTGAGTCAGAACTGACTCGACAGCCCTTAACAACAACTTAACAACAACAAGCAGCGACAGGTAAGAAAAAAGTCTGGTAATCTGATTTCATTAAAACTACAGCCAAGAAAATCTTATGGAGCGAGCAGTTCAACAATGTAACACACGGTTCAAAATCAATGACAATATGTTTGATTGTGATTTTGAAAAACACAATGGTTTTCCAGAGCGTTCCTTTGGAATTACATGGGTCTGGGTTAGAATCCTAACTAAGCCTAATCCTTGGCTGTACAAATTTAGACTGATATTCTCTCTCAGGGTCTTGTTTTCTTAATCTGTAAATGTTGTTGTTGTTGTTAAGTGCCGTCGAGTCGGTTCCGACCCATAGCGACCCTGTACAGGGTTTCCGAGGGTGTAAATCTTTACGGGAGTAGAAAGCCTCATCTTTCTCCCCGGGAGTGGCTGGTAGTTTCGAACCGCTGACCTTAAGGTTTGCAGCCCGATTCGTAACCACTATGCTACCAGAGCTCCTGTAAATAGGGATCAACAAATAAACAAAACTAATCCATTGCCATCAAGTCACTTTTGATTCACAGGGATCCTGCAAATGGAGATAAGCAAAGTAATTCCCCTAATTGGGATTTGTGAGGATTAAATAAAATGCCCCTAGACAGTGCTTGGCCCAGTGTGTCTGATACATCATGAGGGCTCATAATTTGGGAGCTGTTACAGTAATAATGATGATGATTATTGATGGACTACACAGCTCCCAGAGGGTTACAATATCCGTGGGGGGAGAGGCACGGTCGGTAGGCAAGGTTACATAATTCCCAGGGGGGTGATGCTTCCCTGGGGGCCTTGGGGTGTCTCCAAGGAGGAGGCCTGAGACTTGCTGAGGCTATAGTGAGTCTTGGTCTTTTATCTAGCTCTCCCTGCGCATCTTCTGGGTTTTAGTCTTTCAGAGCATTGTCCCGCCACTACTGTCTTTGGTACCTCAGAGTCTTTTTTTTTTTTTGAGGCTCTTGAGTCCGTGAATATTACTTCTCTTTGCCCTCTACGCTGCTGCTGCCAGCTCTCTGCCTCCCTCTGATCTGTGTGCTCTGATTTCCTGTTTCCCCGAGCCTCAGAGGCTCCGTCCATCCCTCCGGCCAGCCATGGGAGAGCGACTTAACAGTTTCCTACGCGCTGGCCTTCATCCTTAAGCCCTGCTTTCCTCTCTCCTGGCGACCCCCCAGTGCCCCGTGGGAGCACACTTGTTCAGACTTTGGTCGCCCCCTCGCATCCTGGCACAACCTCCGGAACCCCTAGCCCCAGTGGTGGAGGTTACCTCCGGCGTCGCCTCCCCAGGACAGCTGCAGCTTGAAATGGGGGGGTGGGGTGGGGGCTCCAGAATGCATTCTTTCTGATCACTTCCTCCCCAGCTGGGTCTGGGGCTATCTGGAAAGCCAAGACCCCATCCCCAGAGGAATGAAGGACACAGCCGCCTCCCCATTTCCGATGCTGGAAAATGCTTCCCACCCATTCCACCCCACCCCTGGACAGCTGCCCTCACTCAGGCTCAGGGTTGGGGGCCAGAGTGAGGCCAAGCTGGGAGGGTCTTGATCACCCTTCAAGGTCGTGACCCCTCCCCCTTGCAGAGAAGATTCTGCTATGTTTTGAAAGGTCTATGTCCACAAAAGTTTCTGACCCCACTTAGAAGATCCTCACTCCGTATCTTATGAGCCCCCAAAAGAAACTCAAGATCCCGCGTAGGATAATGGGAGGAGGGGCGGCAGGGCGCGAGTTCCTAGGACTTAAGTTATCTGCAGACTAGGAGCTTTGGAGAAGGGTCATGACCCCCAGGACCCCATCCCACCCTCTGTCCTCCACCTTCCTCCCTCCCCCGCCGCGCGGCTCCTTTAAGCCCAGAGTCGGCCGGTCCTCAGTGGCTGCTTGCCTGCGAGAGAGAGAGAGTGTGTGTGCGTGTGTGTGTGAGTGTGCGGGAGGGGGCGGGCGCAGTGTCGCCATGGCGACGCGGCGGTGACGTCGCCGGCCGGGGGGCGTGGGCGTCCCGGCCCCGGAGTGCGATATTAACCCGGGAGGCGGTGGCGGGGAGGGGAGAGGCTCTGAGAGGCGAGGCCGGGTGAGGCGGCGAGGGCGGCCCGACGGGCGCGGGACGGGACGGGGCAGCGCGGGTGCCCGGAGCCGCGGCCCGGAGTCGGGGCGCTTCGCCCCGGGCCCCCCAGCATGAAGACCCCGGCGGACACAGGTAGGAACGGGGGCAGCACGTGTGGGGGAGACTTGTTGCCCCGGGAGACCGGCCGGAGAAACTTTGGGGGGCGCTAAAGGTGTCTGGTGGAGCCCGAGTGGTCCGCTGTTCCGGGGGACCCCTGGCACGCGAGACCTGTTGCTTCTCGCGGCGCCAACAGGGGGGTGTTGCTTGGGACCCCCAATTCCTAGCTGAGTGGTGTGGGTGCTGCGGATCCCAGACCTCTCTCACAGCCCGGACCCTGCAAGCTGGGCTCTTCCTCACTCCTGGGATCTCGGGGGTGGTGGGGTCCCTCCTCCTCGCCACTCTGTCACGTTGCAGTCTGGGGGCCGGGACGTGTGTTGTATCGTGGGGGGGGGCGTTCACGGGGCCCGCTATCCCCAGTCCCTCGCTGCGCGGTCTGGCCCATGACCTTCACGGTAGCGCGTGTCCCGCACCGGGTTGGGGGGATATGGGATGGCTTTTAGCATTAGGGCGTGAGTGGGGAGCTTGGGACTTGGGGTCCGGGCTGCGCCGCCCATCCCCCGCCCAGCTCCGCCGGCTCCGCGCTCCCCCGCCCGCGCGAAGTCGCAAAGTTCCAAAGCGCAGCCCGAACGTTCGAAAAAGGAACTTTTTGTTTCCGACCTTAGAACGCGCGGCTTTAAGGTGGTTCCGGGGGAGACCTGGGTATCCTCCTCCCACGCCTCCGGGGGCCCGGGGTTAAGGAGGGGGGGCGCCGAGGCTCCCTCCCTAGTTCCCCTCCCGTTTCCACCTCGACTCCTTTGGCGGCCCGTCTTTTCTCTCCGCCCCCCTCTTCCCCGCCAACTTGCTCCTCCTTAAGGGGCCAAGGTTCCCCTCCCCCCTCGGTCGACGGGCGGGGGGCAGCAGGATTAACCCCCCTCCCACTCGGACTTTCCCCCCTCCCCTCCCCCTCCGCCCCTGGGCTCGCGCGGGCTGGACTTTGCGCCACAGCTCGCTGGGGGGGGGGGAGGGGTCCCAGCCGCCCCCTGCCCGGCTACCCTGTCGGAATCCGGCCTGGGGCGGGAACGGGGGAGGGGGAAGGGGGCCGGGCGCCGCTGTTCAAACTTGTTTCCTTCCCCCGGCGGCGGCTGCGACTAGGGCTCCCGTGTGCGGGTGTGTGCCCCGACCGGCCCACCCACCCCCCTGCTTGGTGGGTGGGGGCAGCTCTTAAAGGGCTCCGGGCCCAACTCCGGCGTCTGGGGAATCGGACGGAGGAGGGGGCTGGAGGTGGGGCAGGGGTGCGGAGTACTGTAGGGTCAGTCACGTGAGTTCCATTTCTTCCCTGGATCCCTCAGTCTCCTGGGCCGCTGGGCCCTGGGGGCAACAGGAGCCTCCCCTTGCCTGAGGAAGGGACCGCGGCGCCTAGACAACCCCGCCTCATTTTCCCTCCCCGCTACAGGCCTTCGCCTGGTGGGACCGGCTGAGCCACTCCCCCAACCGTGTCTTGGGGCTGAGCCTTGTGTGGGCTCCCAGGCTAGGGAAGAGGGCGGCGGCATAGAGTGGTCTCCTTATGGGTCCGCCGGTCAGTCGGCCGCCTGGCCGGCTGCTGCGCGCCCCTGCATCCGACTCTCCATCCCGGCCCTCTCTCCTCTGCCGCGGCTGTTTCCCACTTCCTGTTTTCTTCCCGGCTCTGGCGCCATCGAGGGCTGTCTGGAGTGGGGGAGGTGGTAGGGGCCCCCCCAGGAGGCTGGCGTGTTCTTCCTCTACCAGCACTCCTCCCTTCCGACCGACCCCCATGCCGCCCTAAAAAGTTTAGGCAGTCACGGGAAGTTGGGGGTGCCAGAAGTTCTGCTCCCTAGGTTTCCAGTCTGGGAGAATCCCTGTCCCACCTCTGTGGTACCCAGGTGTGTCTTTTGGGACTCAACCATCCTGACTTTTCTTGTGTGTCTGCTGTTGTCACTTGTATATCCTGTTGCCCAATTTCCTGGACCCCTCTGTTGGCTGCTCTCCTCCGGTCTCCCTGTGTCTCCATGTTCCAGAGGTCCAGCACCCCGACGCTTTTTTGGTGTAGGCCATGTTTTCCTGCTATAGCACGTGGACCCATACAACACACGCACACATGCTCCCTAGCACACATGCTCCCCTAGCCCGTGCCTGGCTCCTGGCTCCAAGGCCTGGGGAACAGAGCTTCATTGAGACACCCTGACGTCACCCCCCCCCCCATTCTCTCCACCAAAGCCAGGAACAGGCCCTCGTGTGTGCTCTGTCCGATGAGGAAAGCTGGTGTTGGGGTGGGTCTTGGGAGTGGGGAGGGTCCCCGCCAGGAGAAGGAGCCAGGGTCTTGACCCTGTGGGGTTGCTCCAGGAGCCTAGCAGAGTTCACATGGGGGCCTGGGACAGCTCCTGGAATGCGGTTTGAGGCCTTTCCAGAGCCCCCCCACCTCCTTTCCGAGTTCCCTTTGTGTTGCATGTAGTCTCTCTCACTCCCTCTCTTCTGCAAAGTTTATTTTTAGCCTCCTGCTCCCCCGCTCCCAGGACTGTCGCTGCACACACGTTGCCTGGTTACCGGGACACGGAGGCTGGGGCGGGTGGGCTGGGAAGGGTGGCTTTAATTTTGGGGGGAGGGTAGAAGTCAGTACATCTTCCCCCCACCCCCAGACTGATGTCTTCAGGGCTTCTGCCCACCCTATTGACCCTGGAAGCCCAGTTGGGGTATAAGTGAGGAGGAGCATGGAGCCCTGAGAAGGACCGGGAGCTTTTGGGGAGGGGGCTGGGAGGTGTCTGAAATTGGTAGTGTGGGCTTCTTGGTTTCTAAGGGTCTCTGGGCCAAGGGAGTCCCTGGGGTCTGGGCTTTTTTAAACAGGGTGTTTTCAGGTTGGGCACCTGGATTCCCAAGGTGGAAGGGATGCAAGGGTTCTTGAAAGGGGTTGTCAGGGTCTTCTGAAGGGAGCAGGGGCTGCTGGGGCAGAAACCTGGCTCTGATCAGCTGGACCCCTGAGGGGTGCTGGGATTTGTGAATGGAGTTGGGATTAGCCTTTCCTGGCCCAGGGGTCTGGGCCTACATTCTAGTAAGGGATGGGTTTGGAGGGGTTGGTCCCTGTGGGAACAGGAACCGCTGTTCCCCTGTGATCCCAAGGGGAAGGATCTACCTGGATTCCAGACAGGGGTGGAGGCTTTGGGCAAGCTCAGTATTGCCTGAGGCCTGGTTGTTACTTGCTTGAATGGAGGCCAAGGGCTGGCGATTGACCTGCAGTATGACCAGAGACATGGGACCCAGGCTCATCTTTATCTGTCCACCTTGGCCTTCTCTCTCTAGTGGCACCAGGGCCCCTGCCCTGCCTCCCTCCCTTCCTCTCCTTCCCTCCTCCCACCCCTCCATTACCGGCTGCCTAGTGCTGAATTATTGATGGCCCCTGATTACCCGGGGGTTTGGGAAATGACAACAACCGCAGCCCCCCCCACCCCCACCCCAGGCTGCCCACCCTCTCTAGGGACCAGCCAGCCCACCACCAACCTCTAGCCAAGGTTAATGCTGGGGGGCGGGCAGGCAGGTGGGCAAGGGAAAAGCAGAAGATGAGCAGGCAGCTGGGGGAAGAGGGCTCCAGCTAGGCCTGTTCAATGTCAAGGGCGGGGTGGGAGGTGGGGGACCTGCAGGCAGGCTGGGCCCGGATGCCTGGGTCTGGGGAGAGCAGTGCAGTATGGAGGGGTCCAGGACTTGGGGGGGAACTTTCAGACAGTCTGGGTTTCACTCTCCAGGGAAGACAGAAGTCTCTGTGTGTACAAACGCTGACCTCATCGTCAACCAACAACCCCACCCCTCCTGGTCCTTTTAAGGAAAAAAAAAAAAAAATTCCTCTTGGGTCGCGTGGAAGGGGTAGGGGCTCTTGTCAGGTCTAGGGGGAGGAGACAGTATATGTTCTTAGGAGGGGACTAGAGGACCTGGGAGAGGGTGGGGATGACTGGCTCTTAATGGTAGTGTGGTGGGTTTTGGGGGGGGGAGCTGTGCCCCAATCCGCCTGGCCACGTGTGTCTTTTAGCCGCCCCTTCCTGCCCCTCCCCCACTGGCAGCCCTACCCGCCAGCCTGGCTTGGTGCCTGGACCCCTGGCACTGGCCCCGGGGACCCGCCGCCGCCGGTTTCCTGTTTCTCCCGGTGTCGCCGGAGCAGGCTCCAGCCTCCCCTCCCCCCAGCTCCCATCTAGCCCCCCTCACATAGACAGACTGACACTGTCTCCCTCTTACCCAGATCTTGATTTGATCCCTAGAAGACAGATTTCCCCACATTGAGGGTGCAGTAGGAGGTGGACACTGAGGTTGGTAGGACCCAGAGGCTGGACTTTGCGTCCTGACCTGGGGCCACTCCCCTGTCTCTGTCCCCAGGGTTTGCCTTCCCGGACTGGGCCTACAAGCCGGAGTCTTCCCCGGGCTCCCGGCAGATCCAGCTGTGGCACTTTATCCTGGAGCTGCTACGGAAGGAGGAGTATCAGGGTGTCATCGCCTGGCAGGGGGACTACGGCGAATTTGTCATCAAGGACCCCGATGAGGTGGCTCGGCTCTGGGGCGTCCGCAAGTGCAAACCCCAGATGAATTATGACAAGCTGAGCCGGGCCCTGCGGTGAGGAGGGGACTCTGGAGGACAGTCTCCAGCTGATGTAGTGTTGGGGAGCCTGATTCATGGGAAGGGGCTTTGGGTTTGACTCGTGGTACTGCAAGTTTTAGCTGTGGGGCTTTGCGCAAGTTCTAAATTGTCTCAGCATTTGTAATCCAGGGGTGTCTTGATAGAATCCATGGGTATATCCTTTTGCCTGGCCCAGACCTGAGTGGGGAGACAGGGTCCCCATCCCCTAGAAACTTGATTTTTCTCATGTAGCTGTTGTATCATGGGCTCCCCTTTTTGAATCCTTTGCCTATACCAACCCTATGTTTTCTGTACCCACAGGTATTACTACAACAAACGCATTCTGCACAAGACCAAGGGGAAACGATTCACCTACAAGTTCAACTTCAACAAACTGGTGCTGGTTAATTACCCTTTCATTGATGTGGGGTTGGCTGGTGAGTATAGGGCTGGGGCTATGGCCTTGGAGGAAGGAGAGGGTTTATTCGTTCATCCAGTCTGGCCAAAGGCTCTGACACGGAACTTCTCTCTTGCCAGGGGGTGCGGTACCCCAGAGCGCCCCACCAGTGCCATCGGGTGGCAGCCACTTCCGCTTCCCCCCCTCCACGCCCTCTGAGGTGCTGTCCCCCACTGAGGATCCTCGCTCCCCACCTGCCTGCTCTTCATCCTCATCCTCCCTCTTCTCGGCTGTGGTAGCCCGCCGACTGGGCCGGGGCTCGGTCAGCGACTGTAGTGATGGCACCTCAGAGTTGGAGGAGCCCCTGGGAGAGGATCCCCGGGCCCGACCGCCTGGCCCACCAGAACTGGGTGCCTTCCGTGGCCCCCCGCTGGCCCGCCTGCCCCATGACCCTGGTGTCTTTCGTGTCTATCCCCGGCCCCGGGGTGGTCCAGAGCCCCTCAGTCCCTTCCCTGTGTCACCCCTAGCTGGACCTGGCTCCCTGCTACCCCCTCAGCTCTCACCGGCTCTGCCCATGACGCCCACCCACCTGGCCTACACACCCTCACCCACTCTGAGCCCTATGTACCCCGGTGGTGGCGGGGGTCCCAGTGGCTCAGGGGGAGGTTCCCATTTCTCCTTCAGCCCCGAGGACATGAAACGGTACCTACAGGCCCACACCCAAAGTGTCTACAACTATCACCTCAGCCCCCGCGCCTTTCTGCACTATCCTGGGCTGGTGGTACCTCAGCCCCAGCGTCCTGACAAGTGCCCACTGCCTCCCCTGGCCCCTGAGACCCCACCGGTCCCCTCCTCGGCTTCGTCCTCCTCTTCTTCCTCTTCCTCCCCATTCAAGTTTAAGCTCCAGCCGCCCCCACTAGGACGCCGCCAGCGGGCAGCTGGGGAGAAGGCTCTAGCAGGTGCTGACAAGAGTGCCGTTGGTCCAGGCCGATTGGGTGAGGGGGCAGGGGCCTTGGTACCACCACCGCCACCGCCACAGATCAAGGTGGAGCCCATCTCAGAAGGCGAGTCCGAGGAGGTGGAGGTGACTGATATCAGCGATGAGGATGAGGAAGATGGCGAGGTGTTCAAGACCCCCCGAGCCCCGCCTGCACCCCCCAAGCCGGAGCCCGGCGAGGCACCTGGGGCAGCCCAATGCATGCCCCTCAAGCTGCGCTTTAAGCGGCGTTGGAGTGAGGACTGTCGCCTGGAGGGGGGTGGGGGCACCACTGGTGGCCTGGAGGATGAGGGTGAGGACAAGAAGGTGCGTGGGGAGGGGCCTGGGGAGGCTGGGGGACCCCTCACCCCAAGACGGGTGAGCTCTGATCTCCAGCACGCCACGGCCCAGCTCTCGCTGGAACCCCGTGATTCCTGAGGGCTGTGGACTGTGTTCCTCCACCCCAATGCTTTTGCTGCCTTAACCGCCCCCCCTGCCCCCCAGTGCCCTGGAGGTGAGGGCAGCTCAAGTCCCTTCCCTGCCTCCTATCGCTCCCCTGCCCACATTTTGTATAAAACTTTTTTTTTAAATGGTGGGGGTGGGTGGGTGCCCAGGGCTGTCTCCTGATACTCTGGGGTAGTGGTGGGCGGGAGGAGGGAGGGAGAGGTGAGGGAGGTAAGGGGGGGAGGCCACCTCCGTTCTGGGAATTTTTATTTGAACTGGGGCTTCTGCCTCAATACCCAGCAACTTTTTTTTATTACAATCGAGTAGGAAGTCAAGCCGTGTCTCGTGGTCCCCTGCCTCTCCACTCCACTTTGTCCCCAGCTGGTCCCTGTCTTCCCTGCCCCTTCAGGGGCCATGAGTGCCTGGGTTTGTCATACCCGCTAAGGTCGCAACAGGGGAGGGAGGGACAGTTTTATGATGAACCAAAAATTCCGTTGGGGGGAAGGGAGGGGATGGAGGTAGGTGAGGGGTGCCACCCATGGGCCACAAATTTCTTCAAGTGCCTGCTATTCCTCTCCTGCTCCCCACCCCAGCTCCCCACCCCAGCACGGGTCCAGCCCCTTCACCTCCTGCTGCTCTTAGGACTGGCCCCTGGGCAGGTGGGTGGGGGTGGGTAGAAAGGGGGTACCCTGAAACCAAACTGGAAACCCCCTCTGCCTCCCAGCTGGGGCCCCTGGGTTGGGGTGGGGGGTTGTGGTCAAGCCTTATTCTGTATTGGGAATGGGAGGGGGTGATAGGGAGGGAGTGGGCGGTTGGAAGGGGATGCTGGAAAATGTATTCAAACAATAAAACTTTGGAACTTTTGATTCAGTTATCTGTTCTGGGTACTGAGTCTTGTCATCACAGGGCCTAACCTAGTCTGAATGGGTCAAATCTAGGCCTTGAAAGTGACCTCTTTGCCTCAGGAACATGTAACCCCTTGGGGGCCAGTGACTTCAGGTCTGGGCTCTCTTTGTTGTTTTCTCCCATGGGTTTGGGTCCTTTGCCTGTCCTGCAAGTGCTTTAGACTCATGGCTACCTCTGTTGCTCTTGCTCTTCTGGTCGCCTCAAAAGTCTTTCCTCGCTGGCTCTGAGTCCTCGTATCCCCAGGCCTCTAGTGAAGGACACACTGGAGTTCAGTGGTTCCACATAGTAAACACTGGACTGTGAATCACAAGGTTTGCAGTTTGAGCCCACCAGCTGCTTGGGAAAAAGATGAGGCTTTCTGCTCTTCACAAGAGTCCTGGTGTGGTGCTGTGGGCTAATGCTCTGTACTGTAATGTTGCTTTGAACTGCAAGGGCAGCCGTTCAAGCTCACCTTGGAAACCCTATGCAGGGTCACTATGAGTTGGAACCAACACTATGATACTTAACTAGTGAGGGCCAGAGGCACTTGTGCATCCTACTCACATCTCACTCCCTAGGATACTTCTGAACTAATCTAGGAATCCTTGGAGACAAGTTCTGAAATGTCTTGAAATGTAGACCTCCAGGGTACCTGGTGATCTTTAGGTCAAACCCTGGGAAACACTCCCAGCTAGCAAGTTGGGAAGAGACAGGCTCTGTAACCACTGTGGTTACTTTGGCCCCAGCACTTAGTGAGGCGCTCTGTTGTCTCCAACATTGACCAAGGTCTGGGTAACCAGCTCAGTGAAATGACTTGCCCAAGACCAAGAGGCTGTAGGAAGCAGAGCCGGGATTTTTAAAGCAAAAGTAGATCTTCAAAAGCCCTGTGTTCTTTCAACAAGTCCTTTGTATTTTCCTTGAAGCCAAGATGACTGGATCACAATAGGAACTGAGGCTGATCACAGGATCTAGAAACCAAGATGAGCGAGCTCTGTAGGATCAGGAGTAAAATAGAGAATCCAGGCAGCAAGTTCCCTTAGTAACAAACCCTTCAGTGCAGGTGAGGTCCATAGGACCCAGAGAAAGCAAGGGGCTTCCCCAAGGTCTTGGGATTTGGGGCTTAGAGCCTATTGGGTTGCCTTCAGTTTGAAACCCCATTCTGTGCAAGCCCAAGGGGGTTGGAACATTGGGCAACTTCTACCCACTCTCCTTAAACCTCATCTCATGCCAGCCCAGGGTGGGTGGTCCTAGATAATGGTTGGCAGTGAAGAGGATGGAGGGATGGAGTTACTGGCGAGAAACCAAGGCTCTTATGGTGGCCTGCGGGCAACTGCTCCCTCTCCTGGGTGATGTAAGTCATTCCCTGGGGTGGGGGCTGCTGGGAGCCTGCACTAGGTTATTTCTGGAAGTTGGGCTGAGGCATGTCTCCTAGCAACACAGATGCCACTGAGGAGTTATTGGTGGTAGTGTGGTAGAGAAAGGGAGATGTTACTGGTGGAAGGGGTAGGACCCTTATCCCCTAAAGAGTGCCTTTAAAATACTGCTAACCAAATCTGACATGGATTCAAAAGTTTCCAGCTCTGTCAGATCATGGTCCACCTGCTTGTCCCAGACTCTGGTAAGGGGATGTCCGATGACATGTGGCCTTGACTACTTCAGCAGTACCCTGAATCTTGGATCTATCCACAGGCTTGAAATGCTAAGCTCCTGCCGTCGAGTTGTTTCCGACCCATAGCGACCCTGTATAGGGTTTCCAAGGAGCAGCTGGTGAGCTTGAACCGCCGACCTTGCAGTTCAAATGGCTTTGCAGTCTGGCTCATTAACCCACAGCGCAACACCAGGACTCCTAGCAGAAGGTTCTTAATGGATCTTTCATGATCGGTACATATTTATCACATCAGAGATCCTTTTAACACTTGTAGTCCCCAGCACCTCCAAACAGCCGATACTTCTGCTGCTTCACAACCATCCCAGAGATGCCTCAATAACCAGTGGTTTCACATCAAAGATCTTTTACAGTTCCCTCAAATTTCTCTACTTGTCCCCAGTAATTGCTCTCAGGTGCCTATAGCCTATCAAAGACCCTTTCTCCTCTGCACTCCCCTCAAACCTTCCTGATACACTCAGCACCCTCCGAGACACAACCTAGCCCCACACCTGTCTCCAAACGGTCTCAGACCCTACAAATATCCTAATTCCTTCAGACTTCCAAAAACTCCAATTCGCTCAGTAGCGGTTGCCCACGCGGAGCCCACAGCGTAAGTTCTGGCTGTTAATTTAACCGCTGATCCCTTGTTCTGCTCTGCCGGCCTTCATGGAGTCCCTGGTTCCTCGTGTTTTCCAGGTCTTGGGGCTCAGCTCAGAGTTTTACTTTTCGACTCCCAGCTGCCGTCAGGGGGCAGTACGTACCGCTTGTCCGAGAAACTACAAATCCTAGAAACTCATTTAGCTAGCTGTGCGTGATGCAGTCGCATGCCTTGAGAGAAACGGAACGTGTCAGGGTTTTGCCTTCTGGATAATGTAGTTTGAAAAGGTTTTAGCGCTGAAGTCAATCTCGCCTCAAGGAGGAGCTGTGTCCTCTGGGAATTACAGTGAACATCGAGTGTATGAGATTTTCTTTAGGCTTCAGAAAAAAAATTTACTGTTAATATGAACGCAGGCTTGGATCAGAATGAAGTCCAGACACTTCACTTCCCACCATTCCACGAGGTGGGAGGGGCCAAGGGCGCTTTCACTTGATTCCAAGTGGTGTAGTTGGGATACACCCCCTCCACCCATCCATCCAGCAGCGTCCTCTAGGCCTACTCTCCTTCCCATTTAATTGTTAAATTGTTAAAAGCCATTGAGTGGATTTTGACTCAAAGCGACGCTGTATAGGGTTTCCAAGGAGTGGCTAGTGAGCTTGAACCACCGACCTTGAGGTTCAAACCAACCTTGCAGTCCAGCGCATTAACCCATACCAGGACACCAAATTGTTAAATGGGGTAATTCAAAAGACACAAAGCCCCAGGCTATTCCTTGCAGCTGGCTTCTCTCTGACCTTTTAGCAAGTGGGAAGATGCAAAGAGTTGAGTAGGAGACTTAAAACAAATTCTATTCCCATCTTTTTTTAAAAAAAGTTTTTATTGTGAATTGAGTGAAGATTTAGAGATCATCAGTGTTACAGTCAACAAATGATACATTCAATTTCATCTTGATTGCAATTCCCTCAATTTAACATTACTTATCCTACTTCCTTCCACTGATTTTTGATTCTAGTCTTCCTTTCCCAGCCCTTCTGAATTTTGTCCATAGGTAAATGCTGCCCTTTCAATTGCAAATGATTGATCTTTCTATGATGTGTGTACTTCCCTAAGGTTGTTGTCTCACCTATTACCTGTCTATTGCTTGTCTGAAAATTGAGCCACCAGGCGAGTTCAGTTCCAGACTGAAGTGAGACCATTTTGAGCTTTGTTCCACATTTTCTCTCACTCTATCCAGGGCCTTCTAATGTGACTGCCCTCTTCAGAGCAGTTGGTAATGGTAGCCAGGCACCATCTAGATCTTCTAGTCTCAAGGTTGTGGAGACTGACGTTGGTTCCCGTGGTCCATTAGTGTGCTGGACTTCAAGCATCTTCTATTTTTATCACTTTTCTTTCCTCAGGAAACAGACCAATAAGGGCACCTTGTTGTTGTTAAGTCGTTGTTAAGTGAGTGACTAGTGGGTTTGAACCGCTGAACCTTTCAGTTAGTAGGTTAGTGCTTATCCTACAGCGCCACACCAGGGCTCCTTTTGTGAACTATGCTACGCCAATCGCCCATATTCCCTTTTTTTTTTTTTTTAAGAGAGAAAAAAGAGTTTTATTAGAAGATGCTGCCAGCAGGGCCCCATCTCTTTTAACATTCTCGGCTCAGCTTCTTGGTGTGACCCATATTAGAAAAAGCTACACCTTACCTGGAGACTGTAGGGTTTTGAGAGACTTTTGTTTCCGAACTCCTTTGCAGGGCGGGGATAACTTTTTTTTTCTACCTAGAACTTGAGTGCTTGGAGTCCATTTTCCAAAGTCCTCCAATCGACCCCCAATCGACTTTAGCACTTTCTTGGGTCTTGGGGAACTGGGAAGGAGGCGCTGAAACACATTTCATTATCTCTGGGGCTCAGCCGCCTGTCACCATTCCAACACACGCCCACAGTGGTAACCATCGGACTCCATTTCCCGGCAAGCCGCTGCAGTCTCACAATCAGGCCAGGACTATTCCCCAGCATGCTTCGTTCTCCTCCCCTTTTCCCCCCTCCCGCCAGTCAATGGGAAGGCTACCTTGAACTTCAATTCCCAGAAGTCACCACGCCTCGTGTAAACTGCGTTAAAGTCTTGGTGTCGACTACATTTCCCGATAGGAACTGCGGCTCAGCGTACAGGGAAGAGGTGGGCGTTCCTACTCCATTTCCTAGCCTATCTCCGGATTGCAGTTTCCATTGGGGCTGAGGAAGCACACAGGACTCCATTTCCCGGCATGCTTTGGGAACTGCATTACATCCGCAATGCGGAGAGGGCGTGGCGACGACTCCTTTCCCGGTATGCTCCTGGCGCCAGTACACCATCTGTAATAAGTGCGCTACTGGACTCCACTTCCCGGCATGCATCAGGCCTACTAATTTACACGGTTCACTGACGCAATAGCTGCGACTGTGTTTCTGAGGTACCTTTCGATTTACCATTGGCATAGGGTAATGAGTGTGGGGCTCTGATTATATTTCACAAAACGCTTCAGGTTCCACCGTCTGTAGTCGATCAATGAATTACCCAGGACTTTTATTTCCCAACGTGCAGCGCGATCCGTTATCCCAGCTGTCAACTTTGAGGCCTTCGTGAACTCCATTTCCCGACGTACTACGCGGCCCTCGGTACGGCCCGCGGGCTGAGGGCGGTGACAGCAACGCGCAAGGCAGGCGGACTGCATCTCCCGACGTGCCCCGAGGCGGGCGCTGGGCCGGAGCCCGAGCGGCGCGGCCTGGAGGAGGCCGGAGCCCTGAGGAGGCGGCGGCAGCAGTAGCAGAGGGGACAGCCCGGGCAGCCCGAGCCCCGTGGCCTGGGCCTGCGCTCGGCGCCATGAGCGGCGGCGCGCCTTCGGGAGCCGGCCCTGGGGGCTCGGGCCGGGCGCGGACCAGCTCGTTCGCGGAGCCGGGAGGCGGAGGCGGAGGCGGTGGTGGCGGCCCGGGGGGCTCGGCCTCCGGTCCGGGCGGCAGCAGCGGCGGGAAGGCATCGGTCGGGGCCATGGGTGGGGGCGTGGGGACCTCGAGCTCCGGGGGTGGCCCCAGCGGCAGCGGCGGAGGAAGCAGCGGCGGCCCCGGCGCGGGCACCAGCTTCCCGCCGCCCGGAGTGAAGCTGGGCCGTGAGTACTGGCGGAGTCTGTGGGAGGTGGTCCTTTCAGTACTCATCAGGTTCCTTCCTGTACCCTGAGGTCACTGTGTCGCTCAAAACTGGGGTTTGAGCTTTCCCCCTCCCAGAGAAATCGATTTTAGGGTCACCATCACTTTGGAGTTCAGGATTAGAATTACTAACCCTCAAAGAAACGGGCCGCACTCTCTGTTTTAACACGACCAATGTTTTGGGTTCTTGAGTCTTAAAAAAACAGGGTTGTGACATTCCTATAGGGAAAAGGATCAGGGGTCAATGCCGCTTGCAAATGAGGGTCTAAAAGGTCATTGTCTTCTACGAAAACAAGGGTAAGGTTGCCATCCCCCAAAAAGGGACATCTGAATTTGCTTTACCTCAGAATGGGGAGTTAGATTCAATATCATTTAGAGACAGGGATTTGGGGGTTCTGTACCCCTAAAAAACAGGGCTAGGGTTTTCTAATCCTGATAACCAGGTCATCTTCCCTTTTAAAACTCCAGGTTTGGCATCGTCACTAGCCCAGAATCATACAACTGTACCCTCGATGGTGGAAATGATTGGGATTGCTCTTTAGAAATAGGAACAGGTGTCACCAGTCCCCTAAACCAGGGAATGATCATCCCCATTCCCTTCAAATCCATAGTTAACTGTTAAAGAACATAGATTGGTGAGCTTTTGGTTCCTCACAGTCCTTAGAATATGGAGCTTATGTCATAGTTCTCTTCGTTATTCTGGGGCATGGTGGTGTTGGATAAGAAAAAAGTCATGTCAGATCATCTCCCTCCAAAAGAGAATCAGATGTTACTGGGGCCTCAAGTGAATTGGAGTTAGCAATTCTCCAAAAAAAAAAAAAGGAGGGGAGCATCTCTGTTCCCCAAGAGTGGCTCCAAAGTATGGTGCTCTCTTCAGAACATGAGCATCAGGAAAGGGAACTTTTTGCTAAAGAACTGAGGCTGAGCCAACCTTGAGTCCAGAGATTTCAGTTTGCTGTTCTCACCGTTTGGTGCTTATCTGTTAGGGGGGAACTTGGGGCTCTGGACCACCCAGTCAGGTTAGTACTTTTTGCAAGCCAAAAGTATATGGATAAAGGCGTAACTCCTTCAAAAGTGAGCGTCAGGGCACTGCCCCTCCTATCGAGAGGGGTCACTCATATATGTCATCAAGAACCAGTGGTGAAGTGACCAGCTCTGCCAGGTAGGGCTTAAGAGATCACTAGGACCCAAGCTATGAGCAACTAAAAGTTAGTGCTTACCCAAAGTAGGAATACCATGGGATGGTGTTGGTTGTTCAGGCTCGTCAACTCAGTTTCACCTCATAGTGACCCTGTATAGAGTTTCTGAGGCTCTAAATCTTTGTGGGAGCAGAAAGTTTCATCTTTCTACTGTGGAACAGCTGGTGGGCTCGAACTGCTGACCTTGTGGTTTGGTTTGCAGTCCAGTACTTATCCTACAGAGCCTTACTGTTCCCCTTAAGCGGAAGAACTTTACCCCAAACAGGAGAGAGAGGTCAGTAAACCCAGAGTGGACAAATTCAACTGAGGGACCAGCCATTTGTTGCTTTTTAGAAGTAGGAATGACTGGTTACTGACTTTTGCATGGCAAAGAGGTTAGGTGGTTAGGTGTCAATACCCACCCCACCCCCCCATGGAAGGAGGGAGGATTTAGGATTTCACAAAGGGAAAAAGGGACAGATTACTGGGATGGTTCTAGTGTCCACCTTTTCTTCAGGAGAGGGAAGGAACCAAGAGGCCTCCTCCTCCCCACAGCTCTAGAATGGGGTGACCAAGTGGATCATGCATCCCCTTTGTCCTTCAGGTGACAGCGGGAAAGTGACCACAGTGGTAGCCACCCTAGGCCAGGGTCCAGAGCGCTCGCAGGAAGTGGCTTACACAGACATCAAAGTGATTGGTAATGGCTCTTTTGGGGTCGTGTACCAGGCACGGCTGGCTGAGACTGGGGAACTGGTGGCCATCAAGAAGGTTCTCCAGGACAAGAGGTTCAAGGTACCTGGGCGTGGGAAGTGGGGAGGAGGATTTGAGGAGTGGGCATAGGAGAGAGAGCCCTGGGGTTTCAGAGGGGTCTGATCCTGGCCCAGAGGAGAAAGGGATAAAGAAAAGAATTGGGGGTGGGGGTTCCTGGGAGATGGGACACGTTTGTTGAGTATGCAGTGTGCAGAGGTGCAGAGGATTTGTATACTGGGCTGCCGGCCGACCAACAGACAGGGTTGTGGTTGAATCCACCCAGCAGCGCCTCAGAAAGACAGGTCTGCTAGTCGGCTTCTCTAAAGATGACATCAGGTGCCGTCAAGTTAGTTTCCATTTGTAGTAATCCTGTATAGGGTTTCTGAGAAGCAACTGGTAAGTTTGAACATGCGACCTTGTGGTTCGCAGTCCAGTGCTGGTCCCACAGCACTATACCAGAAGTCCTCTAAGAAAAACCCTGCAGGGCTCATTTCTTCTGTGTAACACCTGCTTTATAGGCAAGCTCTCAGCTAAGTTACATATTGATTTGCTGAAGGTTGGTAACTGTTGTTATTCCCATTCTAAGTAAGCAGAAACTAAGACACTCAGATAAGTGAATTGCTCTAGGCCATGTAGTAATTGCCTAAGTCAAGACTGGCATGGGCCCTGATTCCCAGGCCCTGCACCGTAACCTCTAGTCACACTTCTTCCCAGAGGAGAGAGAAAGCAGCAGGACAGTGGAGGCCGGCTCTGCCTCAGACACTTGAAGAGTGTGCTCTAGATTCACCAAAGCTAACAAAAAACCCAAACTTAACTACCATTAAGTCGATTTTGACTTATAGGCACTGGTAGGTCTGAACCACTGACCTTGAGGTTAGCAACCCAACACTTAAGGCACTGTGCCACCAGGCCTCCTTTGTTCCCTTTGAAGGAAGCCCTTCCCCCATTCATTTAAAGGTGTCCTAGGAGCTGGTGAAGATGCATGGAACTAGAAGATGGAGGAGAAGGAAGGAGAGGCAGAACTGGGGTTTGAAAAACTGACATGTTGCAGCCTGGGAGGGGGACACAGTCAGGTCCTGGGTCCTTAGGGCAGGGAGCCAATCAGAATTTGATTAGAGTCGAGTCCCTGAAGTGAGAGGGAGTCTGGAGGCAGAGTGTTTTGAGACCTGCAGAGAGGAACAGAGAAATGGAGAGACTGTTGAGATTGGCCTCCTGGGAGGAGACTGAGACCTGCATCCTTTTTGGAGAGGTGAAGATTGGAATTCTGGGGTCTGGGATCCAAATGAGGGTTCAAGGATGCTTCCAGATGCTTCTAATGGAAGCCATAGGGGGTTACGGGGACAGGAATGAATGAACTGAATGGCTGCTTCTCATATCTGTCACTTGTGCCATGTGGCCAGATCTGAATTTTCAAGAGAAACTGGAAATCTGAATATGTATGTGGACGTCTTGATTTTTGAGTCGTCAACCATAAATTGACATTTTAAAAACGTGGCCAAAGAAAACCCATCTACATTCTGGGTTTGGCTCCCAGGTCTCCAGTTTGTGTGTGAAGGGAATGAGCAGTGGGGGTGAGGAGCTTGGGGATGCCCCCGAGGGGCCTTAGAACTGGCAGAGAGGGAACAGCAGTGGGGAGGGGAGGCGGGAGAAGAGTGGGCTGTACTCTGAGGCATTTTCCTTTGCCCTCAAGAACCGAGAGCTGCAGATTATGCGGAAGCTGGATCACTGCAACATTGTGAGGCTGAGATACTTTTTCTACTCCAGTGGAGAGAAGGTGGGACCTGGGGCTGGATGCTCTCCCTGACTCCACCCATTATCCCGCCTGCCTTTGCCCTGACTGTGCCCTGCCAGCCTTCCCTTCCCCCTTCCTCACTTTCCTCTCAAGATGCCTCTCTTCTTTCCTTTGCTCTCTGCAGAAAGATGAGCTTTACCTAAATCTGGTGCTGGAATATGTGCCCGAGACGGTGTACCGTGTGGCCCGCCATTTCACCAAGGCCAAGTTGATCATCCCTATCATCTACGTCAAGGTGGGTGGGCGGGCAGGTTCTGAGATGCAGGCCCAGAAATCCTGGGGCTCCAGACCCTCTTGCCTTCTTCTCTGTGTCTGTAGGCCTGTGGTCCTCACTTTCACCTTGTACATGTGGTCCCCTCCTCAAGAAGTGAAGCATGCCTAACTCAAGGGAAGGGTCAGGGTGGCTCAGCCCAGGAAGGTGGGCTGCCTAGAAGTCCAAGGAGGTTGCAAGGCTGCTTGAAAGCTGCTCGGTCCATACTGGAGCCCAGTGGTTGGTGGGGTATCAAGAATGCTGACCAAGACATTGAGGCCAGTGTCCAGGCTTTGGAAGCCTTGGCAGGCAGATGGGCATGGCAAGGAAGTTAGGGTTGGAGAAAGGTTCATGTCCACAGTGCCAGGAATACATCTTCATTCCTCAAGTGTACACTTGTTTCCTGGGTCCCTAGGTGGTTTTCAATGGATGAATAAATGAATGTATGAATGGACCCATGGCTCTGATGAGCTGCGTGGGGAGGAGGTGGGTGGGTTCCAGCTGCTCTTCATTGGGTGAGCTGATAGGGGCTCTACTGGTTGCTGTTGAACTTCGCCCAGGAGGGGAATTGGTGCGGTTAGTGACTAAGCTCTGGGGCTGCCTGCATCCTGGCCAGTGCTGAGCAATTCCAGGGGCACACTTGACCCTCAACTCACGCCATTTGGTGGGGTAGAAAAGCAGAAACTGACTAGTGACCTCCATATTGGAGGGAAGCAAAGAGGGCAACCCAGGTGGCTTTGAGCTCCGCCTGGGCCTGGTTAAGGGATGAGGCGGATCAAGTAGGGTTTCCATAAGGAGACCAGGTGTGTGGAGGAAACGCAGGGGAAGGAACTGGGGAAGCAGCTGGGAATGTTTCTGGGTTTGGCCCCATCCTAGTCCTTGAGGGATACAGCACTGACTGGTCAAAACACACATTTCCCTGTTTTCTGGGGGAGGAAGAAGAGTGGCAGGAAAATGGAGCTGGAGAGGGGCTGGGTGGTGGGTGGTTTTGACTGAGTGCTTCCTTTAGGCTGGGCTTTTGGTTAGGGTACTCGAGTGCTGTCTTACCAGTTTGCTTTATAATAAGGCCTGACTAATTCATCCGGCTTCTGACACGTGTGGCTCTAGCAGTAGGTCCCAAACTGGCCTGGGACCCGCATCAGCATCCACTTCCCGGGAACTTGTTGCCACTGCACACTCTCAGGCCCTGCCCTGGATCTGCTGAGTCAGAATCCCTGGGGGTGGGGCCCAGCAGTCAGCACTTTCTCCAGCCCTCCCTCCACGGGAATCTGCTGCCCACTAGGTGTGAGAACCAAGGCTTCTCTGGAGGGTGTGGGGGAGAGAAGGGGGACAGTCAGGTGTAGGCACGCGATGTGGGGAGAGCCATGCTGGAGCTCTGCTGTCCCCTGCCCAGGTGTACATGTACCAGCTCTTCCGGAGCTTGGCCTATATCCACTCCCAGGGGGTGTGCCACCGTGACATCAAACCCCAGAACCTGCTGGTGGACCCTGACACCGCCGTCCTCAAGCTCTGTGACTTTGGCAGGTGGGCATGCTGGGTGACTCAAGGGGCAAGGTGGGGGGACCCCAACCCTTGCCCGTGTTTACTTTTGCCTTTCTCTTCTCACAGTGCAAAGCAGTTGGTCCGAGGGGAACCCAATGTCTCCTATATTTGTTCTCGCTACTACCGGGCCCCGGAGCTCATCTTTGGAGCCACTGATTACACCTCGTCCATCGGTTAGATTTGCGGGTGGTTGGACTTTCTGGGTGCCATATGCTGGCTTGGAGATGGGAGCAGAGCACCTGTGGTTTTAGTTAGGCCCCACAAACTTATGAGGCTGATGCTGGGACATGTAAGGCTGCTTGCTGGGGTGTCACACGGCTGGGGCTTGGCAGGGCTGGAGTGGCAAGCTGACCTGACTGGCTCTGGGGCCTCCTGGTGGTTCACCCCTCTCAGCCAGCTGGGAGGGGCTGGCAGTGACCTTGGGGAAAATTGGGAGAGGGAAGCTCTACCACCAGCGTCCTCATGACTGCTCACAGGGCCTGCTGCCATCTCTGTGCAGCATGAGGGGCTGGGGGGTGAAAGGATTTGGGAGTGTGAGGAAGCGGGACTGGGGATTGTCCTGCAGGCAGCAGTGTCTAGGAGGTGAGAAAGGCAGTCTTGGAGTTAGGGCTCAAAGTCCACAGGTAGCTATTCCCGACCTGGTGGCCAGCGTGGGCCCAGTTTAGTCCATCTGTTGTGGTTAGAGCCAGTGCTAGGACCCCTGAGACAGGAGATAAGGGTGCAGCGAAGAGGGGCATGTGGGGTTCACAGCCTCACAGCCCAGGCCTGTCTTTTCCAAGCTGTGTGTGAACTCCGCTAGGCACTTCCTCTCTGAGCTGAGCTAATGGACTCCTGACACCTTGGGTTGGCCATGGGAAATAAATGAGGAGGGGGGAGAGTACCCAGCCTGGTTCTGACCCTCCGCCATTCCCTTTCAGATGTGTGGTCAGCAGGCTGTGTCCTGGCTGAACTCCTCCTGGGCCAGCCCATCTTTCCTGGGGACAGTGGGGTAGACCAGCTGGTGGAGATCATCAAGGTGAGGGTGTGACCTGGCGTGGTGCACAGTGGGCAGGGCTGAGGAGTAGGGGCCTTGTCTCTGACCTTCCTGTCTCTATAGGTGCTGGGAACACCAACCCGGGAACAGATTCGCGAGATGAACCCCAACTACACAGAGTTCAAGTTTCCCCAGATTAAAGCCCACCCCTGGACAAAGGTGGGACTAAGGGTTGTCTGGGGACCTGGTGACAGAATTGTGGCTTGGGAGGATTTGAACAAGGAGTAGTGGGTTAGGAACTCAGATGGATTGTAAAGTTCTTGAGATCCTACAAGTTAAACTCAGGACTCTCATTTTGAGGAAACAAAGGCTGATAGCTGGGTCCGCATGATAGAGTAATGAAAACTCTGCTCACGGAATACAAACGGACCTCTCTTCAGTGGTGCTGCCTTAGCTTCCTCATTTGAAAGTGGGTTTGTGGGAGCCAGGCTGTCACATTTGCAAGTGTGGCAACAGGCACGCCGAGGCCTCTTCTCAGCCCTCGTGACCTTATGTGTTCCTTCTCCAGGTGTTCAAATCTCGAACACCACCCGAGGCCATTGCGCTCTGCTCCAGCCTGCTGGAGTACACCCCGTCCTCGAGGCTCTCCCCACTGGAAGCCTGCGCCCACAGCTTCTTTGATGAACTTCGATGTCCCGGAACCCAACTCCCCAACAACCGCCCACTCCCCCCACTCTTCAATTTCAGTCCTGGCGGTGAGGGCACAGCCTGGGTTCCATGGATTGTGGAGAAGAGTACGGTGGTGAAGTCAGGAATGGGAAGCTGAGGGTGGGGTGTGAGGAAGGGCTCAGGGGAGATGCCCCCCCCCCCATCTTGGGAGAACTGAGCCTGCTATAAGCTCCGCTCCTTTGAAGAGCTGTGTGGTTAAGAATGTTCACAAACAACTGGTCCCCATTGGGTGCCCCCTAACCTTAACTGGGTTTCCAGATATCTTGCTCAGACACCACCCTGACTAGGCATGTCATCCCTGTCTCTAGAACTCTCCATCCAACCATCTCTCAACACCATTCTCATCCCACCTCATTTGAGGTCCCCCGCGGGCTCGGCCACCCTCACCCCGTCCTCACAAGGTAAGCTGAAAGCCACCTGCTGCGGGCCTGTGGGGGTGGTCTTGGTCAGTGTTCCATGTGTTTCGATTTGGATAGTGTGTCCCATGTTTCATGCAGATGTGCGTACTCTCCGTCTATACACACGCCTTCGGGTGTGTCTTTGATGCAGACTGGTGTATCCAATGAAGATGTCTGGCCTGCACAGACAGACAGTTGGATTTTTGTCCACATGCTTAGAAATTGGGGCCATTTCCTTGAAAAGTCTAGATTGCCTGTTTCTCTTGGGGAGGGAAGTCAGGGTGACCAGCACAGTTGGGGTATCCCACCCTCTCTCTGGGGACTGGCTCTCTGGTGTCATTCAGTTCCCAGCCCAGCCCTTTGGCCCTGAGGTTTGCAACCCTGGGCCTGAAGTGATAGCTTGACCTTTTCAATGTACCATCTCACACTGAATTCCTATTCTTGGTAGGCATGAAAACCAGTGGTTAACTGTCTTCCCCTTCCCTCCCTCAGCTTTAGGGGAGCCCAGGCTGGGCTCAGACCGGCAGCCGACTGATGCCACGGCCACCCTCACTAACTCTTCCTGAGGGCCCAGCAGCCACCCTGTTCCTGCCCTGGCTGGACCCCTAGACTAGGGGGCAGAGATAAATGAGCCCCTGTCTCCACCTCCAGTCCCTCCCTCACCAGCTTCACCCCTGGGGTGGGCTTTTTAAGAGGATTTTAACTGGTTGTGGGGAGGGAAGAGAAGGAAGGAAGGACGGGGTTGGGGGCATGAGGACCTCCTACCCTCTCGGCCCCCTCCCTTGTCCCCCAGGTCTCCACCTCCTCCAACCCCCCCTCTCCTATGTCCCTTGTAAATAGAACCAGACCAGTTCCTGCCTCTCCCCTGCCCTGCCCTGGCCCCCAGGTGTAAATAGATTGTTATAATTTTTTTCTTAAAGAAAACATTGATTCGCACCATCCAACCTGGCCCCCTCTCCCAGCTGTGTCTCCCCTCCTGTCTTCTGCCCCTAGGGTGTCCTCCCTCCTCTCCCCACCCTGGAGGGCCAGGGGAGTAGGGAGAGCTCCTGTCTTCGTTTCCACTGTAAGGTTTGCCTGTGTACAGACCTCCGTTCAATAAATTATTGGCATGAAAACCTGCTTCCTCATTGGTAACCTGTTTCATTTGAGGTGACAGGTGCCTCGAAGACAAGGGAGCAGGACGAGCAGCACGAGGCCTTTGCTGCAGCCCTGGTTACTGCTTTGCAAACTCAGCTCTCAGGCTGAGAACCTACTGGAGCCTGGGAGACACCTGCCCCATAGAGCTAGGCTAAGTCACGAGCTTCTGAGGGAGGGACTGTCCTCTGGACAAGTGAAAAAAATGGACCAGAGAGCTCAGAGCCACAGAGGTAAGTGGCAGTTACGACTTAAACAAAGGGTTGTCTGTCCCAAAGCTCAAGCTGCCTGCCTCTGCATGGGCCCAAGGGGACACAGGGCAGTGAGGGATCAGATTGGGAGTGGAAGAGCTAGATTCCTAAACTGTCATGGCCTTACCTTCTTAACAGGCAGCTGGTCTATCTCCCGGGGATACTGTAGGAACTCTGGGAAGGGCAGTGGCCAGATGGCCACGAGCTGAGGGAACTGCTGTGTGTTCCACATGGTGCCAGGCAGGCCTGGTGGCAGGGGCCTGCAGAGAAGCAGGGGGCAGGCTCTTCACTGAACTTCACTTAGGAAGGAAGAAGGGAGAACTGTTTCTAACACAGAGCAAAAGATGTCCAGGGACCATCCTGTGGGGCCCCAGGGTTCTCCAATGTGCTCACAGCAGCCTGGGCCATCTATGCTGCCCGTGACCGAACCGATCCTACCGTCGTCGCCTGCCCAGCACCTTCCCATATCTACCTTGTTTGTAAATTCACACTATGCAAGCATATTGTGGGCTGGGCCTCAGGTTCCTTCTCACATGCAGTCAGTCAGCAGGTCGGGGCACCCTCAAGACCTCTGTCCCAGCTTTGGTCCTGTGCTCTTCTCCTGGACTATACACATCTCTAGCTTCCCGCTGCCCCACTGTGACTCCAGAGTGAATTAGGACCCAGTTACGAGAGCCTTCACTGCCTCAAAGTTCTCAGCCTTCCAAGGTCTAGGCCTCCTGCCCTCCTTCCTCCTCGCCTGGCCTCTACCCAACTCACATCCAGCCCTGACCATGTCACAATCATCACTCATCCGCTTCCCCTTAGGGAGGGAAGGATTGTCGTCCTTCTAGGTGCTAGAAAATCCCCCAGCCCACTGTTCCTCTGACCGCCTGCCCTTGCACTGGCTTCAAGTCTCGAAACAATCACTCAGGACAATATTGGTACTAATCTCAACAAGAGACCACCGGCAAGTCTGTTCCTCAGTTTCCTCATCTGAGCCCTCTCACAGCCCTGCTGGGATCACATGTGCAGCACTAAGAGTGGGGTTGTTGCACACAGACCTGTTGCCATTGGGTCGATCCTGACTTGGTGACCTCATGGGACAGAGGAGGACAGTCCCACAGGGTCTCCAAGGGTGAACAGATGCCTCTGAATGATGGTTTTGCCAAAGACTAGTGAAAATACCAGACTGCCACAAGTACAAACAACTCTGTCCAGGGTGGTGAACTTCATCTCATACCCTCTGGACATGTGATCAGGAAAGACCCTCTGCTTAATGCTGCTGCTGTGGGCCGTGGAGTTGGTTCTGACTCATAGTGACCCTGTACAGGGTTTCTGAGGCTGTAAATCTTTATGGGAGCAGCAGAAAGCCTCATTTTTCTCCCACGGAACAGCTGGTAGTTTCGAACTGCTGACCTTGCGGTTCGTAACCACTACGCTACCAGAGCGCCAGAAGAAGATGGGCTGACACGGTGACTACAATACAGACTCAGACAGTAATGACTGAGGAAGGCGCAAGACCCGCAGTGGTTCATTCTGTCGTGTGCAGGTTCGTTAAGGATCAGAACCAACTTGATGGCATTTAACAGTAATATTTATGGAGATAAGACGGCCAGGTCTTTCTTCCAGAGCACTTGGTGGGCTTGAACTGCAGACCTTTTGGTTCATAGCTGAGTGCTTAACCACTGTGCCACCAGGGCACCTTCACAACTGTGAAGAATTCGGTGGTTTCCAAATGTATCTCAAACCCCTCCCCTGCCATGCCAGGCTGTCTGCCTGGGATGTCCTAGGACGTCTACTGGCCCTAGTAAAGTCCTAGGAGTCCTGGGGTGGTGCTGCAAGATAATGTGCTGGACTGCAAGGTCAGTTTGAACCACAGGCCAGCAGTTCAAACCTACCAGTTGCTCCTTGGGAACCCTACACAGGGTCACCATGGATCGGAAACAACTTGACGGCACTTAAACAGCAACAGTAGAGTCCACAGGAGCCCGGGTGGTGCTGTAGGATTAGTAGTGAACTGCTAAACACAAGGTTGTCAATTCAAACTCACTATCTACTTTCTCAGAGAAAGAGGAGGCTGTCTGCTCCTAAAATTATTTCGTTTCGGAAACCCTGTACAGGGTTGCTGTGAGTCCGAATCGATTGGAAGCTGAGTTAAGTTTTTATTTTGAATTAAGTCCTTCTGTTTCTTCAAGGACTACCTCCTCTAGGAAGTCTTTTCCGACTTCTGACTCCCTGCTCTGGAGCTCCCCTGCCCCTGCCCAGCGGAGCCTGAGAATCCTGACTTGCGATCTGTTGGACCCCCAGGGCAGGGGCTCTCTGGCTCCCAGCCTTTGCCAGTATGAGGGTGGGTGGCCTTAGAGCACACGCGCAGTATGAACAGATGAGATGCCCATGGACACCGAGGCAATCTACTCATGTGTGCCTCCCACCAGTCGTCCTGGAGAGATGTGTCTGTCTGCTCATGCCTGGGTCTTCCATATCACCCAGTATGGAGCCAAGACCCTGGGGCTCTAGATCTCTCTCCTACACGGTCAGCACCCAGAAGTCAGGTGCTGTCCCCACCAGGCAGAGCTGCATCCTGGACACCCAAAGTCCAGGGAAGGCTAGGGCAGGGGGCACACAGGGAATCGCAGACCTGGCACCAGAGTGACGCGGCACCGAGGGCCTCAGTAAAGCCAGCTCTGTTGCTCGGCTGTGTGACCTGGGAAAAATCACATGAACACTCAGAACATTGGTGTCTCCTCGGGCAGGGCAAAGTGGTAACAGAAATCTGTTCTGAGAAGTTGGTGGGTCAGAGCCACGGTGGTCCCTGACACATGACAGCTGCCAGATCAGCTTTCTCCCCAGAGGTACCCAAACTCCAGGCTGTGATCAAACCCTTTTATTATTACTCTCGGGCTGTAATCACACAAAGGTTGTGTCCAACTGCAATAGTCCACCGGCCTCGCTGGCCCCCAGTGCAGCCTGACACAACTGCAGTGTGTCCTCGAGGGCCAGGGGCTGGGACGTCTCGATGATGGCGATGGTCTCCCCCAGTTCAGTACACATGATAGTCTGCTGGGGCTCAGGGGGCAGAGGTGGGCCGGGAGGTGGGGATCTGGGCGGCTGGAGGGCAGCAGTCCGGGCTCGGGCATGGACCCGCTGATGTAGACGCAGGCCAGCCATGGCGCGGAACCACCGCCCACAGGTTGCGCAGTAGTAGGGGCTCTTGTAGAGTCCAGCCATGGAGAGGCGAGGGGCGCGGGCAAAGGCAACTGGTCGAAGGTGTAGCCGCCGGTGCTGCTGCAGGTTGGAGCTCTGTGTGAAGCGTTTGCCGCAGTCCAGGCACTGGTAAGGACGCACGCCCGTGTGGGTCAACTGGTGGCGGCTAAGGTTGGCCAATGAAGCAAAGGTTTTGCCACATGAGTGGCACTGGAAAGGCCTTTCGCCCGTGTGTGTCCGCAAGTGGTTGCGCACGTGAACCAGCTTCTTGAAGCCTTTGCCACACACTCCACAGCGGTGCCGTCTCTCAGGGGGCCCGTGTACTGCACGGCGGTGCCGGGACAGCCGGGAGGTTGAGGCAAAGGACTTGGAGCACTGGGGGCAGGGCAGCTGGACTGGCGGGGCCGGGGCTGGAGTTGCGGGTGCCGGCTCGGCAGGAGCTGGGGAGGAGGCCGATGCTGCTGGGCGTGGGGTGCCGCTCTTGCCAGCATGTGTGCGCCGGTGGTAGAGGAACTTGGTCATGTTGCTGAAAGTCTTGCCACAGCGGCAGCGGTGCAGCGGGTTGGCGGTGTGGGCCCGTCGGTGGGCCACCAGGGTGAGTTCTGTGCCGAAGCCACGGCCGCAGTCCACACAGAGGTAGCGGGCTTCCCCTCGATGCAATTGCAGGTGCTGCTCCAGGGAGGCGGCTTTCTTGAAGACCTTGGAGCAGGTGGTGCATTCGTGGGTGCCACCCACGTGGGCCCGCCCGTGAGCCAGCAGCCGGTTTGCTGAGCTGAAGCTGCGTTGGCACTGATTGCAGTGGAAGGGGTGGGCCACTGATGAAGATGACGTGGGGCCACGAGATGCCCGCCGGTGTCTTTGGTGGGTCCCTGTTGAAGGCCAGTGCTGGGGACAGTCCCCACAGCCCCGGGCCTGGCTGGCTATGGACTTGGTGCCTTCCACTGCATCATTGCCCACCTCTGCCGCCTCCTCTTCCTCCGTCTCGTCTTCATCTTCTTCATCCTCCTCCTCCTCTTCCAGCCCATTGCGCTCTTCTTTCTCCAGGGAGTCAAAATGGGTGCCCTGATGCTCCAAGAACTCCTCTGGGGTGGCGCAGAGGGCTGAGCACTCAGGACACTCATAGGGCTCCATCTTGATTTCCGGAGGGGGAGGAAGCGGAGATGGTGGGGTCTGGGTAGGTGAAGGAGGCGGAGCTGGAGGTTCGGAGGTAGCAGGGACCACTGAGAGGTGTTGGGCTTTGCGATGAGCCACCCACAGCTCAGGTGAGGGGAAGAGCTCCTGGCAGTCCCCACACTGGTACTGGATTTGGCTCGCAGACTCCCGGAGGTGGGCGTCCTGGTGGGCCAGGAGCTCGCTGGGGGAGAGGATGAGCTGGCTGCACTCGCCACATTGGAAAGGCCCATCTTCAGTGGCTGGTGCCAGACCCGCGTCCTGGGTGCTCAGCACGGTCTCCTCAGCAGTAGGGGGCACGTGCTGCTCCTGGTGGGAGAGGACGTCCTCCAGGCTGTTGTAGAGGCTGCCACACTCAGAGCACATGAACTGGTGGTGCTGGAAGAAGAGGGACGAGGCCAGGGCCTCCCCAGGGGTCATCTCCATCACTTCCCCTGACATTTGCATCGGCATCTCCACCACCTCTGGCGATACCTGTGTCAGCACCTTGGCCACCTCAGTCATCTCTGCCACCACTTCTGCCATTGTGGGGAGGGCTGAAAGAGGAAGGGCAGGGGCTGGTGAGGAATCGGGAACCAGAGGGAAAGGGGAGCCTCCGGAATTCCCTTGCCCATCCTGTCACTCACTAGCCCTGTCACTCAACAACTCAGAACCAGTGCTTATGCCTAGCCTCGGTGGTCCACGATCCTGTGGCTCTGAGGCCAAACACAGCCACGCATCTGCAGGAGATAGGGCACTTCTCAGTCTGGCCTCTGGGGCTGCCCTCCAGACCTGCTGTGTTGGCCACACTCTTTCTGAGCACACACACATGCCTTTCAGGCCCTTTGACCTTGGCCTATGCAGTTCCCTCTTTGTGTAACACCTCTCTTCATCCTCCTAGGTATACCCAGAGATGCAACAACGTGTTTCTGAGCACAGGTCCTGGAATCAGACCACCTAGATTTGAATCTGACCTCTCCCACCTACTTCCTTTCTCGGCTACTGCTTCCTCAATCGTAAATTGTGGGTAAAAGTAGTACTGACCACAAACTCCCTTACACTTGGCAAAAAGTTAGTTATAACTACTGCAGCTTCCCAGAAACTCTTCTGGACCCTAAGTCACAGAGGGGGTTCTTCACTCTGCCAGGAAAAGTGCTCTCTTCATTTTATTTGGCAAACTGCTACCCTGCATTTCCTTTGGGAAGCATCCTCTGAATGACTCTCCACCCTCAGGGGAGTGGTCACTCCCTCTATTATGGGAACTACGTGATTGGGATGGTGTCTATACACAATGGATTGAGTCTGTAGGCAGGGCTGGTCTGTGACCAACACAAGGACTGAGACTGACTTTCAAACTGTCCTCTCTGTGTGATACCATCTCCCCTTCACACAGCAGGGGCTTGGCATCCCTTCAAATACATGCCTTCCTCTCCCCCAGCCCTGGGAGCTAATCTTCTAAATCCAACTCTTCTTCCATTAGGCCTGAGGGCAGGTAGGGTCCTCCTTACAGCCCTACCCACAGAGTCACACAGGTTGAGTTCTCAACATCCACTGCCATCGAGTTAATTCCAAGCCAGATCTTTACCAGAGCAGAAAGCCTCTGCTTTCTCCCTCAGTGCTGCTGGTGGGTTTGAACTGCTGAGCTTGTGGTTAGCAGTCCAATGCTTATCCTACAGCTTTACCAGGGCCTCAAATCTTTATGGGAGAAGAGAGTCTTCGTTCGTCTCTTGGAGTGGTTGGTGGACTCGAACTGCCCTCCTTATGGTTAGCAGTCTAGTCTTTATCCTACGACACTAGGGCTCCTTGTAGAGGTCTCAGAGGGCAGGATTTTAGTCTGTTAATCACTGATGTATTTCCAGTGCCAAAAACAATGCCTGGCAGACACTCTTGTCACTATTTATTGAATAAATCATGCTCCCTTTAGAAAGTGTCCTGCAAAACTCTTGAAGCTTAGCCTAAGGTCCCTGTCCACATTCCACTTATCGTACCAGACCGGAGTCTTCCACTGGGCTGTGAATTAACAAAATCAGCACAGGACCCTGCTTTTAGCTGGTGTCCAATTAGTATCCCGTGAGTAAATGATTCCCTACAAGCTCAGGAGTTAAATTCCACCTAATAGCTAGCCAATAAAGGACCTTGCTGGAAGTAGCCAACCAGGAGCCTGCGAGTTCAGCTTTCCCCTATTCACAGTCCCGCTTCCAACAGAGAACTCATCAAGGTCCTGTGCTTGGCTTTTAATTAAGGTGGCCTTAGAGGCCTGAAACTTGTCATTTCTTTCACCACTTCCCAATCTTGGATTGTGAACTCTTAGGAGGCATCTAAGGTGCCCTAAGGAGCTCTGGTAGCGTAGTGGTTACCAATCAGGCTGCGAACCACAAGGTCAGCAGTTCTAAAACTACCAGCTGTTCCGCGGGAGAAAAATGAGGCTTTCTGCTCCCGTAAAGATTTACAGCCTTGGAAACCCTGTACAGGGTTACTATGAGTCGGAACCGACTCCACGGCACATAACCACCACCACCAAGATGCCTTGGTGATGCCGTGATTTAGACATTCAGCTGCTAACTGCCAGTTCAGTGGTTCAAATCCACCAGCTGCTCTGTGGGAGAGAGACGAGGCTGTCTGCTCCCATAAAGATTTACAGTCTCGGAAGCCCTATATCTTGGATCGCTATGAGTCCGAATCAACTCGATGGCAGTGGGTTTGGTTTTTTTATTTTTTTTTGGGGGGGGGCATGTGGGCTTTCCATACAGTGGATCAAGAAAAGTCCTTCGAGGCAAGAATCCACCGGGGACCTGGAAGTGAAACTTTCCCATTACACACTCCTTTTCTCCTCCCAATCTCCTCTCTTCGGCTGCTAGCCGGAATTCTCCGGCAGGCCATGGAGGGGCCAGAGCTCAAGCGTAGCCTTTCTGCATATTACAAGCACTCAACCAGTGCTCAGCGCACGCAGGAAGGCGCGCTCACCTTCCCACCCGCACCGCACCCGCCCGAGCGCAGGCCCCAAAGCCCATTTCCACCTCCGAAGCCCACTTCGAGGCTACCTCCGCCGTCCCTGGGCACCCAGCGCGCTCTTCCCCGACCCGTCCTGCAGCATCCGCACTCGTCTCCCTTACCTCCAGCGGCCCCCACCGTTCTTGACACAGACCCTCTGCCCCAGGCGTGCGAGACCCCGCACTATCTACACCTCCCATTGGGCGGTGCCATTAACCGTGACGACCAATCAGAGCCGACAGTGGAGGGCACGCGACCGCGCGCCTGCGCGCTGACGCTCAGGCGGGGCTGGGTAAGGTCCTCCACGCACGCAACTGTAGGGAGGGGTAGGGCGGAGCTCTGGGAGCGGAGCAGCGCCTGCGCAGTTCTTGCGGGCCGCTCCCTACCTGCCAAATCTGAAAAATTCTGTTGGCAGAAGCAGGCACTTTGGGAGTGATGATAGGGCGCGTGGAGTGGATTAGGCTGTGCGAGACCTTGACGAACGTGTCATTTCACAGCTGCAGAGACTGAGGTTTCCCGAGGGCACAGTTCTGGAACCAGATACAGTTGAGATATTTACTCTTTCTTGGCCGCTTTGTGATGGCGGTTATGTGCCTTGGAGTGGGTTCCAGGTCATAGCGATACTGTATAGCGTTTCCGAGGCTGTAAAACTTTACGGGAGCAGACAGCCTCATCTTTCTCCCATGGAACTGCTGGTAGTTTTGAACTGTTGACCGTACGCTTAGCAGCCCAACTTGTAATCACTATGCTACCAGAGCTCCTTGGCCTCAGCTTTGCTCATCAGTAAAATGGACTTTAATCCCATTCACCTCAGTAGTTCAAACTATTGAGGGAATGAGTTCACACAGGTAAAAGCGCTCAGCAGAGCACCTTGATACACCATGGGTGGGCGTATAACCTATTGACATGGACATTGTTGTTATTAGGTGCCATAGAGTCGGTTCCAACTCTTAACGACCCTTTGCACAACAGAAGGAAACAGTGTCTGGTCCTGCTCCGTCCTCATAGTTGTTACGTTTGAGCCCATGGTTGCTGCCCCATCTCCTTGGGGGCGGGGAGATCTTCCTCTTTTCCCATTTTCCCTGGACTTTATTAAGCATGAAGTCCTTCTCTAGTGACTGGTCCCTTACGGTAACATGTCCAAAGTATGTGAGACAAAAAGTCTCACTCACCATCCTTCTAAGGAACATTCTGGCTGTACTTCTTCCAAAACAGATGTTTGCTCTTCTGACAGTCCACAATACTTTCAATATTCTTCTCCAACACCATAATTCAAATGCATCAATTCTTCTTCTACTGTCTTCTTTATTGATTGTGCAACTTTCACATGCATATGAAACAATTGAAAATACTATGGCTTGGGTCAGGCCCACCTTACTCTCAAACTGACATCTTCCCTCTTGAATACTTTTAAGAGGTCTTGTGCAGCAGATTTGCCCAATATATTATGTCTTGATTGCTGTTTCCATGAGCATTGATTGTGGATCCAAGCAAAATGAATCATGAACAAAACGCTTCCCGATTTGTAAAATTGCTTTTCTGTTCTCTTCAGTTGATTTAATAATGGTTGCTGATTGGATGCCTTCTGTGTATTCCACATCCTTCTGTTTTAAAGAGTGGGAAACTGATATTTGATGTTTTCAACCCAATCCAAGGGAAGTTCACTACTGCAGTCAAGGAAAAGGAATCAGAGCCAGTGTTCCGACCCTTAGGGACAATCCCTCAGGGATAGATGACTCTGGAGATGAGAATGTAAGGTAAGGCACGTGCCCACTCTGATCTTGAGTCACCTAAGTGGGGGCGGTATGACCGCCACGCCCAAACCCCCCCCACCCCCGCCCCCGCATTGGGAGATGTGCTTCCCTCTTCCCCAACAGGAACCTGCTTCTGCCTGTGTGACTTGTAGGTTCAGGTTAGGGTGTGGTCGTCTAGGCGGGGTCTGACCCGGGGTTAAGGGGATTGTGATAGACGCCATGGGGAGGGGCCCAGTCAGGATGCAGGGGCCTATTGCAATCTGGAAGGAGAGAGAGATGAAGGTGTGCTGATGTTGACGGAGGGAAGGAACGTAAAGGTGGGGGGATCTGTTGAGTTTTTTTGGGGGGGTTCTGATTGTCATCATGAGAAGGCAGAGTTGTGATGTAGATCTCTGGTTGCCATTAGGAGTGGAGACAGTTCAACATAGGGGTGTCCCGGTACTGATCATAAGGGGCTTGGGCGTTACCCGAGCCCAGATGATCGTGATTGTGGTCCTCTGCAATGGGCAGCTGGAAGCAGTGGTAATGTGGGCGTCTGAGTCGTGGTCAGGACGGGGCTGTAGTCCAAGAGATGAGTAGTCTCAACAGGTTGTTACGTGGGGTGACAGGGAGGCTGCATCTTAAGTAATGGGCGGGAGGTAGAGCCTTTGAAGTCTGGTACTAAACCCAACCCAGCAGCGGCGCTGCTTTAGCTCTGCGCAAGCGCTCACAAGCCGATCAAGACCCTTCTGTAGGGGGCGGGGCTTATGTGCTTCTTTCTGCGCTTGCGCCGGAGGGGCGTGGTGATGGCACCTGCGCGAGTTGGGGAAGGAGGAGGGGCGAGGTGACGCAGGCGTAATACTAGAGAAGGTGCCAGAAAGATCCAAAACAAGTGGCTGCGGCCGTCGCCCAGGAGTCGTTGGACGCCAAAGTCCGGTGAGGATCCAGAGAGGCCTAACAGCGATTGGCGGCCAGTAGAGGGACCCATCTGGGCTCTATTGAAAGGTGGTACTGCCCCTATAGCGCGAGGGGGAGGGGGGTCCGGTTCGGACAATACCACTTGTGTGGATCAAAGGGCTGCTTGGTCGGTCCTACTTGTAGGGGGCAGAGGGTCACTTCCAGACGGAACCACTTGATCGGCAGTATCACTGCATGGAGTCAGCGGGCACATCCGGTCAGTACTACCTAGAACCAAAGGGCAGTAGTCCAGGTGCCCCTAGGAAGCCCCGAGGCACGTCCTGACCTAAGCACTCAGTCGGTATTGGAGCCTGATTCGGGCCGTACCACCTGGGTAGGGGCGTTCAAGCTTAGTCCCCCCCATGGGTCAGAGGACTTGTGGGCTGTGGCGTCCCGACCTGTTACTAGGGGACCCCGGACGGTACTATTCTTTTTCGGGGGAAAGGGGAGGCTGAGGCTGTTCGGGATGTGGGGGCGACCCTGCCTGGCTGGGCAGACTGAAGAAAGCAGCAAACTGACAGGTATGAGGTCCGGGCCATCGTGCCGCTGACCCCTACCCTCTTTCCTCCGTTTGGATTCCAGGCCCGCCGTCCGAGCTTGCTCCCACCCCCTCCCTCAGGTATGGCACTGCCCACGCCGACCCCAGCCCCGAGCTGGGAAGAGGATGAGTGTCTGGACTACTACGGGATGCTGTCACTGCACCGCATGTTTGAGGTGGTGGGCGGGCAGCTGACTGAATGTGAGTTGGAGCTGCTGGCCTTTCTGCTGGACGAGGCTCCTGGCGCCGCCGGTGGCCTGGCCCGCGCACGCAGTGGCCTTGAACTGCTGCTGGAGCTGGAACGCCGAGGCCAGTGCGACGAGAGCAACCTGCGACTCCTTAGGCAGCTCCTGCGCGTGCTGGCGCGTCACGACCTGCTGCCGCACCTGGCACGCAATAGACGCCGGCCAGGTATGATTGAATTCGGGTGTGACAGACAGGCGTGGTATCGATCCCCTGGGCCCTCATCTGGCAGTCTATGCATAGTCCTGCTCCCTTCTCTTAGTATCAGCAGGACACACCAGAGGGAGGAGCAATAGTTTGGAAAGAGGTGAGCTTGTGGCATTTGGCCACTGTTTACCCGGAGAGTTTATTCCATGCTAGACCTGGTGGTAAACTCTTCATGTGAGTTATTATTGTACATCCTCCCAGTTGTCCCCTGGAGAAGTCCTGTTACTGTCTCTGCTCTGTAGGGAACTTCTCAGAGAAGTTAAGCATCTTGCCCACCTGTAAGAATTGCTGAGCAGTAGGGATACAAAAAGGAGCTATCGCGCTATAGGTTAGGTGTTAACCTGCAAAGTCCCTGGTTGAAACTTACTAGCCGATGTACACATCACTGTGGGAGCAAGACTAGGTTTCTGTGCCTGTAAAGATTTAGTCTCTGAAAGCCTATAACATGGTGGCTGTGAGTCAGAATTGACTCCATGGCAGTGGACTTGGTTTTTTTTTTTTGGCGGGGGGAAGGATACGACGTGAGGGAGGGGCTGACGAAGTGTTTAATCCCATTAAGTTTGCATATAGTGGAAGAATCAGACAATAAAACAGGTAAACAAGTACCATGGTTTAAGATTGTTGTTGTTAATAGTTGTTGCCTGGGGTTCTGATTTATAATGACCTTGTCTAGGGTTTCCAAGGAGCGGCTGGTGAATTTGAACCCTGACCTTGCAGTTCAAACTGACCTTGCAGTCTAGTGTATTATTATCCCTTAGTGCTACACCAGGACGCCCATGTTTTTAGGTAGGGTTACCAAAAGATGAATGTGTTCACCAGCCAGAGGCAACTGGGGATGCAAGCCTGACAGTCTGCTTCTGTAGAGCCTCAGCCTTGTGAATTTTGTGTAGCAGTTTCACTTTGGAACACATGGAGTCGCTATGAGTTAGAATGAACTTGATGGCAAGCCACCACATAGAAAGATTAGAGCAGAGTAATGAAAGAGCCAGTGAGTTGGGGGTGCAGCACAGTGAGGGTCGGTCCCCTTAGGTTGGGTAACCTTAGGTGGGGTGACATTTGAACTGAGGTTGCCCCTTAAGGTGTGCAGGGATCTAAGGAGAGGAACATCCAAGCACAGGGAAAGGTAGGTGGGTGCATAAATCCTGAGTGGGAAATGAGGCCAGTGAGGCAGGAGCAAAGCAGACCAAAGCAAGGGCAGAGAGGAAGGTGAGAAGCCAGGTCACTCAGGGGCTGGCAGATAACCAAGTCAGGAAGTGCAGGAGGCTGGCAGGTCTCCAGAGTTTATGTCCTTAACTCTTGGGAGGGGAGCACTCCTGAACGGCAGTGGTCCTGGGAGGGGGAGGCCGGGAGACGGAGTCAGGCTCCTAGGAGCCCTGTACATGCGCTGTTCTCACGGAGCTGTTCAGCCTCTGACTGACTTATTACAGGTACCAGTTTCGGAAGGGAGGCATGTTGAGTTAACCCATGAGATTTGGAAAACTCAGAAAAGGATGGGGCCGGACCAGGCAGTGTTTCATTCTGTTGTACACAGTGTTTCATTCTGTTGTTATGAGTCAGAACTGGCTTGATGATCCAAACAACAACAACAATGGAAAGACTCATGTTGTTTTTGGAGAAATGTGTATGGAGTCAGGCCTAGAAGAGAAAATTCAGGGAGTCCCCAGAGAAGTCTGTCTGCTATTTGGGATCTCAGAGATATGAAAGGCAGTGGCCATCACCAGTATCCTCATTGTGACTCCGGGTAGAGAACCACCCTGATAGTTCAAGGTTCTGTCCAGATAGGGCAGGTGGTCCCCTTCAGGCTATGGGTCCTCCATTTCAGAAGGCCTCTGAGTGAGGGTTGGGCAGGAAGTGTTCATGAGAAAGTGGGTAATTAGTCTGTGACCTCTGGGGAACGTGGGTACCTTGTCTGGTGCAATTCTGGGGGCTGGGCCTGGGATCGAGGGAAAAGCTTCTCATTCTTGTCCCTGTGAATGCTTCTTCCCATCGTTGCTTTCCCCAGTGTCTCCAGAACGCTATAGCTACAGCGCCTCTAGCTCTTCAACCAGGGCGGAGAGCAGCTGCCGCCGCCGTCGCCGCCACCAGTCAGACAGTTCTTCCGATTCTCAGCAGGGCCAATGGGAGACAGGTAAACCCAGTGGGATGGGCATCTGGGTGGTGTCTCTCTCTTCTCTTGGAACCCTGATGAACTTCCCTGCCTCTATATCCATCCAGGCCTCTGAGGAAGTCATTCTGTCTCATTTTCAACTCGTGTGTATGTGTGTCAGAGAGTGTGTGTGTGTGTGTATTTATGTTACTACTACAGAAGCATGTGCCCCAGAAGTCATGTGTAACTTCCTTTCTCACTTCATCTGAAGGGTCCATTGTGGTTCTCATTTCAGCCTCGGGCTGTCTTCGTTCAGCACATTTCTGAGATTTATGTTTGTTGCTACAAGTTGCTCTGATTGTTTATTTCAATTGCTGTGCCCCAATTACTTGATTCAATCTTTCCTGCCTGTTTTTTAATGTAAAACTTTTTTAAACATGTAGAGAAGTTGAAAGTTAGTACAGTGAACATGCTGACTTTTTCTACCTGGAGTCATCAATTTTTAGCTTTTTGTCACTTGTGCTTTGCATGTGTATGTATGAGAGGGCTTCAAAAAGTTCATGGTAATATTCTGTTATCTTTTAAGTCCATTTTTCCAGGACATTTTGAAGCCCCCTCCTATATATGTGTACGTTTCATTGTGGTTTATTTTCTTGTTGAACTGTTTAAAAGTAAGCCGTAGACATTAGAATACTTTACTCCTAAATCAGCAGCAGGCCACTCTTGAGAAGGGGGGTAGTCTCTTAACTTATCACAAGACCATAATTATGCTTAAGAAAAGCACTGGTCCGTTTCCAGATCTCCCCAAGAGCGTCTCTGCTTTCAGAATCCATTCATAGTTCATGTATTGCATTCAATCATTATGTTTCATTAATACGCTAATATGGAACAGAACCCTCTTCCTCTAATGCCTTTTTCTTTCTTTTTTTTTAACCCATGACCTCAATTTATTGACCTAACCAGCCTTTTAAAAGTTTTTTTTGATAGAATGGCCCAGTGGTGGCATAGGGTTTCTGAGGCTGTAAATCTTTATGCGAGCAGAGAGCTTCTTCTTTCTCCCGTAGAGCTGCTGGTAGTTTCAAACTGCTGACCTTACGGTTAACAGCCCAACTCTTATCCCACTGTATTATCAATGCTCTATGGTTTAAGGTTGTTGTTGTTGTTAAGTGCCATTGAGTTAGTTACAACCCATAGCGACCTTGTATAGGGTCTCCGAGAAGCAGCTGGTTAGCTTGAACCACTGACCTTGAGGTTCAAACCAACTTTGCGGTCCAGCTCATTAACCCTCAGCACCACACCAGGCTCCTTGGTTTAAGGTAGTGTCTGTCATATTTGTCTGTTTAAAGAAATATTCTTTCTCTTAACAATTAATAAGTAATCTATGGGGTATACTTTGGCACATCCTGTTTTCCAACAACCATCTACCCAGTGGCTTTAACATCTGTTGGTGATCCTGTTATCATTTTAGTGTTTGCCAAATGCCACTTGTTCTAATTCTTACCCTTTTTCTACTTGTATTAGCTGGAAATCTTTCAGGAGGAGTTGTCTGTCTGTCTTCCTGAGAATCACTGTGGACAGGTGCATTCTCCTGTGTTTATTAGTCATTCTTTCTCATGCTCCCATTGGCTACTTCTATGTCCTGTCATCCTTTGAGTGTTTCCTGCTTTGTGACGCTGCATATATCCTGGGCTTTCCCTTCCCTAATCCTAGAATAAGGGTGGGGAATGTCCAGCCCACAGGCCATATGAGGTCCTCGAAATCATTTGGTGTGGTCCTGCCAAGGCAACTACAGTTCCAGCCATCATGTTGTTGCTGTTCAGTGTCATCAAGTCAGTTCTGACTCATAGAGACCAAGATCTGGGTGCTTAGACCATGGTGTCTGGATTCTTTCAGTGAAAGAAAGAAACTGTTTTTTTAAAGAATTGCATTGTGAATTGAGTGAAGGTTTACCATCAGTTTTATATTCAACAAATCATATACTTTGTTTCATTGCAACCCTCTCTATCATCATTTAACATTACCAAACTCTTCCCTCATCTTTCCTCTGCCTGCCAACCTCTCTCTTGTTGTATACTGCCTGTGGGTGTCATTCAAGTTAGCATGTATCAAGTTAGCATGTATCTATTACCCTCTAGCCCATGAATAATTTTCCCTTCTCTCCTACCCCTGGTAACCATCATAAAATGTTTCTTTTAGCAAGAAAACCTTAACTTTTTACAAAAGTGGTGGTGGTAGTGTGTAGTTGAGTTGGTTCACACTCAGCAACCCTGTATAGGATTTCTGGGACTGTAAATCTTTACGGGAGCAGAAAGCCTCATTTTTCTCCCGTGGATGATTGGTAGATTATTGGAACTGCTGCTCTTGTAGTTAACAGCCCAGCTCATAATCCCCTACGTAATGTGCCATGGCATCAGTTCTGATTTAGTGATGCTGTGTAGGGTTTCTGAGGCTGTAAATCTTTATAGGAACAAAAAGCCTCATCTTTCTCCCAAGGAGTGGCTGGTAGATTCAAACTGCTGATCTTGTGGTTAACAGCCCAATCGTAATCCCCTACGCTACCCAAGGATTCCTTTTACAACAGGTGTTGCTGTTGTGTAACAGACAAGGAGTGAGTTCTGATTCAGCAACACTAATGGGGTTTCCTAGGCTGTAAATCTCTACAAAAGCAGAACACCTCATCTTTCTCCCTTAGAGCAACTGGTGGATTCGAACGGTCGACCCTGTGGTTAACAGCCCAGTGTGTAAACCACTGCGCAACCAGAGCTCTCTACACCAGTGGTTTCACACAATATTGAACTCTGTTTTTTTTTGAAAGACGATGTGTCTAGATTCTCTCAGTGAAAGAAAGGAACTGTGCTTCTTTTAAAAGTCCACCTTGGTATTTGCAAGTCGAAGTGAACATCTCAGGGACTTTTTCTCTAAGGCTGAAAATGCTGTGTTTTTTAAGTATATAACGTTGCTATCTGGGATTTTTTTTGCTTTTATCTCATATTAATAGTACATAGCTTCAAAACAGCAGTCACTGATGAGCTTGTTTGACTAGAGGGCTTGTTTGGGGTTCTTGTCCTCTGACTGGGTCCCACTGAGAGAGCACAGTCAGTATGCTCTTCGAAGTTATTTGAAAGAATTCTCTCCTCGTGTTGCCAGTGAAGTTCATGATCCAGTGAAGTTCATTGGTTTCTACTTGTGTTTTGGGTGCTGATGTGTGCCTTTTGAGTTTCTTGGACAAGGAAAACAGTTACAGGATTCAAGTCAAGGTGTTCTTAGACATCTCATTTCCATCATGGGTGCCTCCTGCCCCCTTTCTAATGAATCTTTCAAATGTTTCGTTTTACAAATCAACGCGATGTGTGTAGGTGTTCCCGCTCCCTTCCATGGTGGCATAGACTAGCAGGCGGAGACTCTTGGGGAGCTCTTGCTACATTCCACTGCGCAGCCTGCCCTGGAGGTCACTTTCTCTGACCTGTCCACTTGTCAGCCTCCCTCTCACACTGCCCTTGCTGTGTTTGTGGTTATAAACAGTGCATCATTGGTTGCAGTTCTGCTGACTCCTGGTGTGAGTGTGCAGGAATTTCTCCAGCTCCCCCCTGGGAGTGGACTGCTGGACAGGTGGTTGAGCATGCTCCTCTGCCCTTGTGGATGCTGCCAAGCTGCACCTCTAATCCGGAGAGGCTGAGGGACTCACCTTAGGTTGCATTAGCACCCAGACCAACCTTGAACTCTTTCACGGAAGCCCCACCTGTCACTTGTTCCTCAGCCTGTCTCATCTTTCTCTTTTCAGGGTCTCCTCCAACCAAGCGGCAGCGGCGGAGTCGGGGTCGGCCCAGTGGTGGTGCCAGACGGCGGCAGAGAGGGGCGCCCACCACCCCTCTGGAGCAGCAGGAGCCGGCCAGGCCCCCCTCTGAAGGCAAAGTGACCTGTGGTAGGTGTCTTTGGTTCTGGGGAGTTCATCAGAGTTCTCAGGAGTCAGAGGAGGAGACACTGGCCTTTGTTTGGAGTGTGACACACATAGGGGGTAGGCAGCAACTTTCACCCAGCCATTGGAGGCAGTGTAGTCCCTGTCTTTTCTGCTGCCATCTTGCTTGTCCATGTCCTGTCTGAGTAGAAGGATCAGATTGCGTGCTACCTCCTCCAGGAAACATTCCCTTATAGCCCTTGCCTCCACTTCTGTTTGTGTACTCAGCAAACAACGCAGGAGTTGGCTGTACCCCAGTCAGCTCCCCTAAAGTGGTGGCGGGTTACTGGGGTACCCGGCAGCCAGGTTACGCCTCAGGCAGGTGACTAGACCACTCTGTGCATCCACGTCTATAAATGAGGCTGACGATGGTGCCTCTCAGCTAGACTGTTATGGGAAAACACTGATGTAGTGCCCTTGGGTCGATGGCTCCTCAGGGGTATGTGTTTGCCTCTCTGGTGCTATGCAGTCTGCCTGGGTGGGGACGCAGCATTGAGGGGATAGGTGAGGTCCCTGCCCTTGGGGAGTACCAGATCACTTGAGAAGACACAAAGGAATGTGAGGGAGCTCAAGCAGGGTAGTGGGGAAGAATGAGCTAGGGTTCCTGAATTAAAGAGGTGGCCCAGGAGAGGACCTGAGGAGCTGGCCCTGTGACTGAGTGGGGAGGGGCCGGAGCAGCTGGACCTGACCTGCCTGATGTGGGTGGGAGTTTGGATTTTAGGTGGGAGTGATAGTGCTCCGATGCTCGTTTATAAAGGAACTCTGACACTGTCTAAAAACCAGTTAATAATTGGTTCTGATTCGTAAAGCCCTCAGAGCGGCACCTGGGGTAGAGTACCTACTTTGCTACCCCACTCTCCCCACTGCTATCCAGATGATTTTGACTCACAGTGACCTATGTGTAGGACACAGGACAGTAGAATTAACTGATCTATAGGGTTCCGAGATGGAAATCTGTATGGGAGCAGACAGCCTCATCTTTCTCTTGAGGAGAGGTTGGTGGGTTTGAACTGCCGGCCTTGTGGTCAGTAGTCTAACACTGAACCCACCGTGCCACTAAGGCCCGTTCCCTGCTCTGCTGGGTGTGTGTGTGTGTGTGTGTGTGTGTGTGTGTGTGTGTTCAGCAGTTAAATGATGTGAACGCAGGGGAGTGAGTGAGGAGGCTACAGGAAAAGAAAGGCCAGAGGCCTGGCCAGGGCTAGTCCTACTGGAGAGAGGGAGAAGTGGGTTATTGTTTAAGAGCCGTGGAGTCAGTTCCAACTCATAGCAACCCAGTAGAGGATTTCTAAGACTTTAAATCTTTGTGGGAGCAGAAGGCCTCATCTTTCTCTTGTGGAGTTAGTTGTTGTTGGGCTTGATCTGGTGACCTTGAGGTCCACTGTCCAGTGAGTATCCTACAGAGCCGCAGCACTCACACTGAACTGTCTTGCACGTGGGGCTGATGGGATCTGTAGAGAGGTAGGTGGGGCTGGATAGGGGCGAGGGAAGAGCCTTCAAGGAATGCCGCCTGGTTTGTCAAGCAGACCCAGGCATGCATGAGCTTCCTGACGCCTCCTCACACACACTGCTGGTGCATGCACCTCCTCTGTTGATGAAGTCAGGGGATGCCGACCACATCTGGTAGCACTCCCTTCCTCCCAGGCTGCAGAGGGGAAGACAGACAAGGAAAGTGGCAGCTTGGCACCATGAGTGGTGTGAGCATGGGAACTTTGGCATGTGCAGGAGGAGATCTCTGACCAACCGTGGTTTTCCTGGAGAGGGACCCCCTGCATAGCCATCAGCTGGAGGACCTTGTGGTTAGCAGCTGGAGGAAGTGGGCCGAAGACAAGGGGAAGGGCATTCCTGGCAGAAGGAGTTGCACACTCGATGTGTAGACAGCAGGCTATGCCCAGGGTCCATTCTGTCAGGAGTTGAGGCTTTGTGTTTAAGGACAGGTGGTAGCCCTAAATACTGGGTGCAGATTGGACTCTGTATCCATGGGGATAAGGAACCCAGGAAGAGTTGCCAATTCTAACTCCTCGCTGGTAATTATCACTGAGCAACATTGTATGTCAGGCACAAAATTGGACCAGGAGGGGAAATGTGTCTCAGCCTAGAGTTTTGCATTGTGGTCATGTGACTGATGTCAGGAATGAATGTTCTCAAGACAAACAAAGCCAGGGAGTCATGTGCCACGTGCCACCCCTGACCTGGGACCTCGCCTTAGGGGACTGAGACTGAAGGATGTGAGAGGAAGGGGAGGGATTTGTGGGAGGAGCTCCAGGTACACATGTAGAAGAGCTCTGGGGAGAAGGCCCATGTGGAAGCTGGTGGTCAGGAGACCCAGGACGAGCTGGTCTGGGGTGTGTGTGAGAAGTAGAGCCAGGAAGATCTAGGCTGTGGGCCCAGAAGACCTGGGCCATCTGCAGCCTGGCCACAGCCCACAAAGCATGCCTGCCTGCCTCCTTCATAACTGAGGCCCTGGATACTTGTGATGGGTGCTGGCCGGAGGAGCAGCCCAGTAGCATCAGACAGCTCCCAATAGTCCTGGACTCAGGCAGTAATGCCCAGAGCCACCAGGCTGGCTCTGCAGGTGGACCCGCAGGATGGAGTCAGTGCCTAGGGAACAGGGCCAGCTGGGCTGAGGAAAGTCTTCAGGTCTCTTTCCTGAGGGCTGGGCTGGGCAGGGAGGTGGTTCTTCAGGGGTGTGGTGGGGAGGCAGGTGAACAGGTTTGACTGCTGACTAACCGGACAAGGTGTGGCTCTCCCATTTGGACCTCAGGTTTCCCCTCTGACAAATGGGGATGGCCCACTCCCCAGACCTGAAGGAGGCTCCTCCTGTCCTGACTTGGAAGGGGCCTGCAGTTTCTGTCCCTCCTCACCTGTGATAGCGGGGAGTGCCAGGTAACTGTCTTCTTGGCGATTAGAGCTAGACTAAGCTCCTGAGTGTGTGAGGAGCAGGGAGTTAGGGTCCTCCAGACTTGGACCTCAAGGTTCCCACCTCTGTCTCAGGATCAGCCATTGGGTACTGTCGTGGGTGTGTTCCCCGCCTGACCTTGAGGTCTTGCGGTAGAGGTGACAACCCCATCTGCAAAGGAGGAAACAGGCTCTGAGAGAAAGGAAGTTGGTAGTCTTGAGTGATGAGTGGCAGAGGCCACAATTTGTCTTCCAAAGTCTGCACTTGTCTGTTCCTTCCATCTGTGTTTACAGAGCACCTACCATGTGCGAGGTACCACAGGGATATCAGAGCCCTGCCCTGTGTAGCTTGTGTCCTGGTGGGAAGAGAAAGCCAGAAGACCAAGAGATATTTCAAATCTCAGGGAAGAGCTATTTTATTTATACTGTTTACATGTCGGGGATCTTGAAAGACCTCTTGGGAAAGAGAACTGTCTTACAGGATGGGAGCAAGCTGTGTGGACACCAGGGCAGAGGGTTTTAGATGAGAGACCAGCAGAGCAAAGACCTGACTGAGGTAGGGGTGGGCCAGTGGTGGTCTGGAAACAGCCAGGAGGCAGGGGCAGGAGTAGCAACCAGGCAGGTCCTAGAGGGCTTTGTCCCTGGAGTGAGAACTTTGCTGTGGTTAGTGGTGGAGAGCACCTGGAGAGTCTGGATGACAGGAGCAGCTTTTTCCTGTGGAAAATATCCAGAAGCGTATGTCTACTGGCTCTGGTAGCGTATTGGTTAAGAATCGGGCTGCGAACCTTAAGGCCAGCAGTTCGAAACTACCAGCTGCTCCGCGGGAGAAAGATGAGGCATTCTGCTCCCGTAAAGATTTACAGCCTTGGAAACCCTGTACAGGGTCGCTATGGGTCGGAACCGACTCGACGGCACTTAGCAACAACGTCTACCGGCAGATGCAGCCCCACTCCATCAGCGACCTTTAGTACTTGCCGCCCCGGACTGATCTTGTGCCACTGCTGTTGTATTTTGGAACCATATACATTCTTTTGGAGTCAGTTCCATGTGTCCTCTTGTCACATCTGTAGATTCTTCAGTATGTATCTCCAACAGAGAAAAACTTAAAAGAAACCGAACAGTTCTTTACTATCACTGTCTAGTCTGTTGATGTTCAGAGTGTCTCATAAATTTGTTGTTCTTGTTGCTAAGTGCTGTTTTGTCGGTTCTGACTTATAGTGACTCTGTATCGGGTTCTGAGGAGTGGCCAGTAGACTTGAACTACTGACCTTGTGGTTTATCCAACAGCGCCCCATGAGGATTCCTCATACATTTTAAGTCTCTCGTAATCTATAGAGTGGGAGTCCTGGTGTGGCGCTGTGGATTAATGCACTGGACTGCAAAGCCGGTTTAAACAAACCGCAAGGTCAGCAGTTCAAGCTCACCAACCGCTCCTCGGAAACCCTACACAAGGTTGCTCTGGGTTGGAACTGACTTGATGGCAGTTCACAGTAACAACAATCTGTAGAATGTCTCCACTCTCTCCCTGTGCGTGACCTTTTCTCCTTTGTCTTGGATTCCTGGAAACCAGTTGTCGTGTGGTGGTTCCCAGATGGCATCCTGTGGCAGGAGTGATATAGGGGTTCCCCTGGCTGCTAATGTCTCTCTGAAAATTGGTAGCTGGAGCTAGAGGGTTTTGGGTGGATACCACTGTGATGTCTTTTTGTTTTTGTTTTTTTTAACAAGACATTTGACCTTTTTTATTCTTCAACAAAGCTCCATTAGTTTTTATTTCACTTTCTGACTCTGTGCTTGTGCCTTCAACACTTTCACAACGATTTTCTGCTTCTCAGTAAGGAAAGCACGCTTGATCCCGTCATGGACACATTTAGCACACATGGAGCCACCAGAGGCCCTGCTGACATGTTTCTTTGTCTTGGACAACCTCATGAGAACTTTAGGTCTCACAGCACGGACCCCTCGAAGTCGGCCTGGGCATACACTGCATGCAGGGGCTTTACCAACCTTCTTGGTATAGAGATGAACAATTCTCTTACCAGGGGTTCGGGTCAGCCTACTTTTGTTAGAGGCTG